GCCCAGACGGTTGGTCTCCTGACATGCTTTTACATCTCCCACAGGATGCCTTGCAGCGACTTGCTGACGTGTTGAACAGTTGCGAAAGTCATAGCTGTTGGCCAGATACCATGTTTGACTGGACTATTCGGTTTATCCCCAAAAAGAAGACTGATGGTCCCCCTGACCTAGGCAGTGTCCGTCCAATATGTATCGGTCCTACCTTGTACCGTGTCTGGTCCTCCTTGCGTCTTCGTGACTTGTCGGAACATTTGTCCTCCCTCGTGGATCGTCATCAGGTTCGGGACGTCTATGACTGTCTTTTGTCCTTACACCAGGAATACCCCGAAAGTGCTTTCCCGTACGGAATGTGCCTGGACTTCCAAAAGTGTTTTGACAGTGTGGACACTTCCCTCTGTCTGGCTATCCTTCGTCGCTTGTCGTTCCCTCCGGGGGTCTGTGATCTTCTCGGGTCTCAGTGGGCATCTCACCGTCGGTGGGTCTGTTTTGGTGACGTTGTGGCTTCCTCTCCCATTACCCACTCCTTGGGTCTCCCGCAAGGGGACCCCTGGAGTCCGGCTTGCCTCACCTTGTGCTTGCTCCTTCCCCTCCGGCGGCAGCTGCGTGCGGTTGAAGGTTCTAGGGCTTTTCTCTTTTTGGATGACCGTACCCTCCTTGCGCGCAGTGTGGCGGATCTTCTTGCGGCTCGGGAGGTTTGGGACGAGTTTTCCGGTCTTACTAGGGCTCAAACGCACGATGGAAAAACGCAAATCTGGGCGCGCACCATCCCGGCTTTCGTGCAGAAAATGCGGGATTAGGTCCTTCCTTTAACGGGGAGATTCTTGGGGTGACCGTTGGTTTGCCTGGGCGTTCCTGCGCTCCCTCGGAGCTTCAAAGGGTCGCTAAGTGCAAGCGTCTTGCGCGGCGCATGTCTGTTCTTCCCTGCTCCCATGCCTTCAAAGCCTCCTTGGCTTCCCTGGTTCTTTCCCCGGTGGTCTCCTGGGGTCTTTTGTTGGGGGGTCGTGTCCCTTCGCGGGCGGAAGTTTCCAATCACCTCACCTTGTGTCGCAAGGCGGTTCAAGGTTCGACCGGAGGCCATGAAAGCGTTGCTATCCAACAGGTTCTGCTGCTGGGGCACACGTCGGACTTGCTGTGTGTCTCGTTTCAACGGGCTGTCAAGGCGTTACATAAGTGGCGGGCGTCTGCGGGGTTCCCCAACCTTGTCGACTCCTCCTTCCTCACCTCCTTGTCTCAGGCGGCGACGCGTCTTGGGGGGGAGGTTCCTTCTTTGGGGTCCTTTCGGTTTGGGGATCTTACTTGGGATACGTCTTCCCCCTTTGCCTTTGCGGACTCCTACGCGCATGGGTTCCGTGACTTTTGGCGGCTCTCCGCTCTCCAGCGTTGGCTTCGGTCTTCTCGGCGCGATGCGGGCATTGCGCGAAACGCGGGTCTTCGTGTCACGCACCAGCTCCTTTCGCAATTGCGTGCGTGCGCGGCGTGTGTGGACGGGCATGCTCGCCAAATCATGTGTGGGGGTCTTTCTGTTGAAGCGCACTGCTCACCCGTGACGTCCTCATGCTCCTGTTGTGGGCTTTCTGTGATCCCGTCTACTGAGCATATCCTGTGGGTTTGCCCTGCCTGGTCGCACCTCCGTTCTCATCCCCAGCCTTCTCACCCTCTGGTCAGTCGTCTTGGTTGGTTTGATTCTGTTCACCAGCATATTGTCTCTCAGATGGGTCGCATCCGGGAGGCTGTCTCGGCCTACTATTATAGGCATGGCATTTGGACTCACCCTCACCGGGATAGGGGCGGTGGGGGGCGGGGGGGGGCGCACGCCCTCAGGACCTCCCCATCTCTGAGCATTGCAGCGGCTGCGGCTGCTGCGCAGTTGGCCGCCGGCGCGTGCGACGCTGCGGCTTCGAACTACACGCTCACAGGCCTTACATTTGCAGAGAGCCGATTTTGCTTTGAGCCAGTTTGTTGAGATAGGTTTTTGGACATGTCAATGGTGAAGGCGCTTGCACAAAATGTCAGCCAGGTATAGCCAAGTAATTCACTTTGTTGGGATTGCCGTGCTACCAGTGAAAGCATCTCAGCATTCCATGTGCCAACATTTGCTCATTGTGTCAATGGAGCATTTTGAGGTGCTTCTTTGTGAAGACCACATTATTATTATTATTAAAATTACATAGTATTAAACCACCCTTCGGTGGCATGCTGCCAGCTTTCCTAGTCATTTGATGCCACGATTGCACAATGAAAGGTTAGCTAAAGACGTTGAAGGGTTTGAGTGTGGCCCCTGTGCAGGCACTGGTGCAAAAGCATTAACTGCGTCTCCCGCAGCTACTGTGGTACTGCTGCTGTGGCTCCTGCGGCTCCTGTGGCTGCTGAAGGGGTGAGTGAGCGAAGAGTTTGGCAAATTCATTAGACAGCATGCAGCAAGAGATTCCACAAACTTCAAAGAACATATATCCTTGCTCACAGATTTTTCCTTGCGAATGTTTGGTGACAAGCATGATCACCCAAAGTAGTAACAGGATCATGACGACGTTAAAAGGTTGACACGCGGAGATCCGGAATCAAGATGAGGCATGATTGTTTTTCATTATTATGTTGATCTTCAAAAGTGTCCAGTGTTTTTAATTTTATGACATCGCCTCGATTCGCCTCACATATCTTGATTCTGAAGCCACACTCGTGTCTAGCTAATCCAAGCAGTCCTTGATGCAAACTCCTTTGCTCTGAGCACAAGCTTTCCTGAAGCGTTCACCTTGCAGGGTTTTTACTATTTTACCCAAGTCGTATGATTTTCAGCCCCGCGAACGCATGCTGTTGATGCAAAGCTTGGATTTTGTCCCATCAAAGCCTAGAAATTGATGCGCTCATCCAGAAACAACATGAGCGTGTAAGGCACGGTGTCAGGTGAGCAAAACTGATAGGGTTTCCGACAAACTAGTCTGTTAGCACTTATATGCTGATCATCATCAGTTTGCTCCCTTGGACTTGCTCCTGCACATTCTCACTAGTAGCTGATAACCTTGGATCCTGCTACTGGGCAAGTTCTCAGCACAAAAACTGACTGCTGCACGGAGCCTTAGTTGTGAGTCATTGATGCTGGGACATGTCCACAAATCTGGGATTAAGATGAAGGTGTGATGAGGTGTCGACAACTTCCATTAAACATTGCAAATTTTAGCCAGATCCCTTAATATTTTTCGGAACCACTGAAATGCTAACCTAGACACTATTCTTGGACCACTTTTGGAAGTTGAGATGTCGAAAGAAGTGCACGCCGTTTTGGCGCGAAGCACATTTCGAAGTCAAAATGCACAAAGCACACCAGCTTCGGACCACTTTTAGAAGTTGCGATGTCGAAAAAGTGCACGCCGTTGTGGCGCGAAGCACATTTCGAAGTCAAAATGTTCAAAGCACCAGGGGTTCGGACCACTTTTGGACGTTCAGATGTCGTTTTGCGTGGCAGACGCAAGGGATTGTGCACCTTCTCAAAAGTGAGCAAGACGTGAGGGCTATGTAGCATTTTCAAAAACGATGGCAGGTGTGGGATATTTGAAGAGGATCTGCAAAGATGCATTTCGCGTGGCAGGCGCAGTACAAAAGACATGTTCATCAGAGATGTTAGGAGGCCAGGGCGCTGATTTCCTGAGAAGGGTTGCATTTTGGAGCATCAGATCTGTAGGTTTTCTAAGATGATTTTGCGTGACAGGTGCAGCACTTCGTATGACCTGGCATCAATTTTTCGTGGCAGGCGCAGAACTTTAGACAGGTGGAGTGGAAAAATCGCAAAACGCATTGGTACGAGGCCGTCAGCTCTGCACTCAACTTTCTATTTTTGAAGGAAGTCTCGCAGAATTCTTTCGTTTTTGATGTTGTCAACTTCGAAAAATGAGGAAGTCTCGCAGAATTGCTTCGTTTTTGATGTTGTCAACTTTGAAACATGAAGAAGTCTCGCAGAATATCTTGGTTTTCAAGCTTGCAGATACACAGGTAGATAGATAAACAGACAGACAGACAGACAGACAGAAAGAAAGAAAGAAAGAAAGAAAGATAGATAGATAGATAGATAGGTAGGTAGGTAGGTAGGTAGGTAAAGAGAGAGAGAGAGATAGATGGATGGATGGATGGACGGATGGATAGATAGATAGATCGGTAGGTAGGTAGGTTGATAGTCAGAGAAAGAGAGGGAAAGAGAGAGAAAGAGAGAGAAAGAGAGAGAAAGAGAGAGAAAGAGAGAGAAAGAGAGAGAAAGAGAGAGAAAGAGAGAGAAAGAGAGAGAAAGAGAGAGAGAGGAGACCTCAATCACCTTTGGGTCCATCAGTGGATTCGCTCTGCCATCCGTGATTCACAACGACCAACCTCTCCTATAGGTTTCCTATTTTTGGAACTTCCGCCACAGCCTTGTGCGGTACTACTGGTATTGGATTAATGATGGATATGATTACCCTCTGGTTATTTAACATAGCCATGGAAATGATATAGCCCATAGAAATAGATGATTTTCCCAGCTAGAAGCCTCCATTTATGGTTGGGATTTTCCATGGCTATGTTAAATAACCAGATGGTAATGATCATACGTAATTGACTTTCATCATTTGATATGCTAGGAGATATTTAGTTGATGGATATGAAACATATTTGGAACACACAAGATATGATCTGGGTTGGACCAAAGCTAGTAGACTTCGCTCCATTTTATGGCCGAATGATTTGGAGCATGCTCAACGGGGCTGGGGCTCCAAACCAATGGTGGCAGATCCCCCACTCTACGTGTTTTGTTCAACCATTAAATTTATCACCTGTCCAATTGAAGATTCTGTGGAGTATTTGAGAAACATTTTTGTGGATTTCCAATGCCCTCTGGTAAACTAACATGGCTATTGAAAATTGCCATTTATAGTGGATTTACCCATTGAAAATGGTGATTTTCCATAGTTTTTTGTATGTTTACCAGAGGGTATCCAAATGTATCCCATATGATGTCGGTTTCTACATCTTTATTCCAGGCCAAGCGACTGGTTCAGAAATCGCAGAACATGAAGCGACGCTTCCATGAGATCTTGGATGAGAACGATCTGGAAGTCATCCATCGGGTTGATGCCAGCTTCAGCCATGTGCCATGACGCTGCAAAGCGGGGGTTGAATCGGGACCTCATAGCCTCACGCGAACTCCCTGAAGCGCCTGAAGCCCGTTTTCAAGTCATGGCCGCGGCAAGCAAAACATAGGTTTAGTTCGGGGTGGCAAGTAGCATAAGTGGCCACATTGTTTCAGCTCCATGTCTGTTGGGCTGCACCCTCATGAAACAACTACCATGCAGTGTGAAAGTTTCATTCCCTTTGACTTTCCTCATCCAACAAGAACAAATACCGTGGCTTGATGCCGAAGGGGCATGCTTTCGAGTTTCCATCCCAACACATCAAATCATGATCCCCGATGGCCACTCAGTCACTGGATGAGTTGGAGCAAAAGGCCGGAACTGGCTGGATGAAGGACCGCGATAGGGAACCCAGCACCAAAAGTGGGCCAAACATGCGGCTAGACACACATATGGAGGTTTCCTAAAATGGGGTACCCCCAAATCATCCATTTTAATTGTATTTTCCATTATGAATCATCCATTTGGGGGTACCCCCCATTTATGGAACCCCACACATACATATATATATATATATCTATACAAATATGAGAATCTCATCGGGGAGAATGAGGATTAGAATTTTGAAATATCCAATTTTGAGACATATGCGCATGGCCAAGAATGGATTTTCCGGCACTTGAGCGTATTATTTTGCAAAATTCTGAGCCCTTAAACTCCATGAAAATCCAACATTAACTGGTTGTATGGTTTAGGAATTGGAAAGCATTTGACACACCCGAACATTGGCAATGTTTGCATTCTTGTTGGCTATGTACACATCATGGGTTGATTGTTTGCTCCTGTTCTTAGGGAATCTTGATGCGTTCATATTAGGGAACGTATCTATGATACATGATCATACCGTATTTTGAAGGATGAACATTCCATTCAGAAAATATTTTCATGTTCACCAGCATATTACCTCCTAACTTGACCCACTGGTCTCCCTTTCTTGGGTGAGCTTCTTTCTTTTGAGGACCGAGACGAGGCACAAGATCTGGATATGGCCTTCAGGCTCTCCAAGGACCTGCTACAAGCTGTGGCCAGCACCGTCTGCATGGGCTGCGACATCGTTCAAGCCCTCGATGGCTTGTTGGAATATGTCCAGCAACATGAGCACAATGATGATCTTGAAGTTCAACAGTCCAGGGCTTAGTTGTGATTCCGCAGGCCAAGAGATCCAAGAGGAGCTACACAGCTTTTAGTTGGTCATCCCGGGTCCGCTATGATTGCTGTTTTTTTTGAGATTGAAAACACGCCACGTTGATTTGCTCCACATTTTCTGGTGTTTACTATGTACCCTCTGGTAATTTAACATAGCGAACTGGAAAATCACCATTTTTAATGGGTAAATCAACTATAAATGGGCAATTTTCAATAGCTATGTTAAATTACCAGAGGGTAACTAACTCATGAGTCTTTGGCAGCACCTAGGCTCAACAACGAGCTGGAGCAAGACTCGCTTCTTCGCGTCTTCAGATCCGGGCACGGCCGAACTGAGGATAACATCCTTCACTGCAGCTGGTGACTTGTCCTGCCAAAACGCCCTTGGAATGGTGAAGATGCACACAGATAAACATAGTCAACTTTTGGTATAAACCTGGTTGGCGGTTCTGAACTTCGACATGTTGGGGAAGATGAGTCGAAAACAACTAGTTATATACAAACATCAAGCATCATGCATATATACAATCACATATGTATATATATATATACAATCACATATGTATATATATATACAATCACATATGTATATATATATATACAATCACATATATATATATATACACATACAATCACATATATATATATGTACAATCACATATGTATATATATATATATATACAATCACATATGTATATATATACAATCATATATATATATACAATCATATATATATATATACAATCACGCCTTTTTAGAAGGTGGCACACCACCACCAGGGAAAACCATGGGTCACACTAGGCTGGACGCCTTGGACGAACCTTTGGGTGCTCTCTGGCGGGGGTCTTAGCCATGCCATCCGAAGAAGGGAAGGAAAAAGGACATAAAACGACGAACGGAAAGAAACACATCAACAAATATTCACAAACATCAAGATGAAGTGTTTTTTTTTCAGAGTTTTGTGCACATTTAAAATTTGTGTAGTGGTGGATTGAATAAAAATCCGTGGCTGGTGGCCTGCTGAGGCTCTCGAGCTACACCTACAAACATCGCAATCCAAAGTTCCGGGGCGTCCGGTTGCCTCCACCCAAGTCAGGCGACCCCGATGGATCCGTGGGTTGGATGGACGACTTGAGTGGAAACTTGGTGACGAACAAAGTCCCAAGTTTGGGCCTTTTGCGGCAAAAACCAAGTGATCATTGGGCACTGTACTGATTTTTAATGACTAGGAAGCTTTATCAAAATACGGTGATTCTCACTGCACGTTTTTGCAGGTTCCGTCCGCCTCTCCTTTTGGCGGAGCTCCTTTGCCATCGCTCCCCACAAAGATTTGAAGCGTGGACAGAAGGCGGTGCGGATCACTTATGCGCTGGCTCGGAGACCTTCCTCAGCTGCTTGCATTTTTCCCAGCATCATGCATCGAGAGGCGGCTGTTGAGACTGTCTTGCAAGCTGATCGCAATGTTGCACATAGATGTACCATATAACGACTAGACTATATAATATATTTATACAATTAGTGTCACAGTGTATAGATATAACCCGTATAACCTATGCATACATATGTACATATTATATACATGTAACAATCAGTAGTTTCTTTCTCGATTTAACACTTGACCGTCACTGGACAGTGGATGTTGTACACTGCTGAGCTTCGTGCTGTTTCGTCCTCCAGGTGGGAAAGATGCTTACGAGTTTCAAAGAATTCTTGCGGGATCGAGCAGTCCAAAAGGAACACGTTTCCAGTTCGTCAATCTACGACTGCATTCGCAGGTGCAGTGTGGTGCATGAGTCAATATGTTCTTTCTGTTTGCCAGAGGCCAAAAGTTGATAATCTACATCCTAATAATAATAAAAATAAAATAATAATAATAATAATAAATAATAATTAATAATTAATAATAATAATAAATAATAATTAATAATAATTAAGAATAATTAATAATACTACTACTACTAATAATAATAATTAATAATAATAGTAATAATAATAATAGTAATAATAATAATAGTAATAATAATAATAATATTAATAATATATACACATCTATATACAGAGACATAGATACACATGTTTTTTTGTCATAAGCAGTTTTTGTACGATGAAACATACAGACACAGCTTGCAGGAACTCCACGGATTTTCCCGCATCAACTCTTTTGGGATGCTGCAGGCATGCAGCAGAGCGTGCTGCAAACCCACAGCGAGAAGTTCAGGAGGTATCTTTTCAGGAGAGCAAACCTGGAATATCCGGGCTGGAATATCCAGAAAAATATCATACACTATCATATTTTTGTGTGTCTAAAAATGCTATACCCATCCAGTGGAATGACCATTGACTGAGAAAACAATGATAGACCATTGAATCATTGGATTTTTGGGCACCCTATTTTCAGACAAACCCATATCATCTGTGCAGATTAAACTGGTGTTTCAGGAGCTGGCATCTTTGCTGCCTGAAGATTGGGCAGATTACCATGATCCCGCTCATGTCAATGACTACAACAACCTGAAGGACTTTGAATAGTTCGATTGTTTTCGCTTCAGCTCCGGTGTACAAAACAGCATAGAATAACTCCAAAAACTGGAGTGTCGATTGCGGACATTTGGAGCAAAACACCCAGCGGACTTTGCATTTTAGAAGCCACTTTTAGAATCTTTTAGATACTACTAGCTGTTGAGGAGATAGTTTGTAAACATGTACCATTCTCACTGGATTTTGCAACCTTTGGAAGTGTCTGCTGCAAAGCGCTAAGGGATCGTGTCATATTGCGATACAGTCTTCACCGTTCTGTAGACCAAAACATATCTTATAATTATAGCAATCCCCGAATATCATACAAAAGTAACATCCGGCTAAAAAAGTGGTCAATTGATTTTCTATCTGTTTTGTGTTTTGGGGGTCTTACAAGTGATTTCTCTCAAAATGTCCAACGAGTGCCCACCCTCAAAGATGGCTCTCCAGTCTATGGTGCTTGAAATGAAGATTGACAGCACAACAGGGCAACAGCGCGACATATTACGTCATTGCATTGGCTTCCTGAAGGGCTGCAAAAAGGTGAAGTTGTCAAGGAAATCACATAGTGCAGTGCGCAAGATGATTCTAGAAATTCTTCTGGGGTCCCAAACATCCAGACCTAAGCATTTTGTATCTCCTGAAAAGATTTGTGCATTGGATATTATCGGAATTCAGATAATAGGCCATAATAGGCCAATGTTGTTGCGCCGCGATGTGACTGCCGGTGCTATGAATTATGAGGTTGGCCCCTCATATACCGAATGAGGGAGCGACTTTGAGTGAGATGCGTACACATCTGGATATATTGTGCTCAGCCTGTTTCCAGGTTTTTGAAGCAGGTGGGAGAGCTCTTAGATTCCGCAGATGAGAAAGCCACTGATACCGACCTTCAAAGCCTTACCAGGCCGTGACCGACGGTCTCCGGGTTGGATCGCTGTGGTAGCCCGGTAAACACTCCTGTTTCAGTGCCCACTTTGCAGGCAGGTTGGAGACACCTTTGGTGCAAAGAAGGCGGTGGAGGCTGATGGTACCACACCATACTTCACCATATAAGCAAGGCAAAGCATACAGAGTGGAAGGTGGAAGTACCTTAGATGAACTTGATTCAAGACATTTCAAAACCAAATTCAAATTTCGGGATCTTTTAGGGATACACATCATTCTTCAGGATGATAGATTCCTGATTTTCCTTTTTCCCCTGAATCTTTATTCCCTATCACCGGCAGGCGGTCGAGTCAGCCAAGCGCGTGACGTTGAACTTCGGCATTGTGGAGGTGCTGCAAAACTTACCATCCTCCAAATTGACATAGGCACCAACGGATCGATAATTTTGGAGGAAGGTGGCATGGTGTCTGGTAGTTGGAGGTGAATGCTACCATAGTATGCATTAGTATACCACTTTGTGATATATAGTGACCTTCATGTGCTGAAAGTGGTAGGCGTGGTAGGCTATGTAGGCTGAGGCTGTCGTAAGGAACCGTGCCAAAGGCCACAAGCAACCATGAGTGTCGTTCAGCGAAAAACATGTTCTCAGACTCAGGGACTCTCCGATCTCAAGAATCAAATCGGATCCGATCTCAAGGACTTGAAGCGGTGAATCATATGGAATCATCGAGGAAAGGTTGCTGGGATTGCTGGGACTTTCCACATCTTTTCATAGAAATACAATATATATATATATATATGTGTTTCATTGTGTTTCTAATCTTGGTGACATCGTTTTGATACACAACTCCATCCATACTTTTACATACTTTTCCCATCAAAAAGTCCTGGAAAAAACAGGAGCTCAGCTCACCAAGTCACCACCGCCCTGGTGATGAAGCAGAAGACAGGTTGGAACAGCTGGGTGCAACGCATTTTCACCCATCAACTGGCCATCTAATGGACCAAATTAAGTGATCATGTGAACCATATTATGATTATTATTACTTATGATTATTAATGATCATTATCATTATGATTATTATGATTATTATTATGATTATTTATATTATTACCAACAAAATCAGAAGTTTTGATTAAAAAGAAACTTGAAGCAAGTTGCACTGAACTGAGAGATTCCAACGCTCTCCAACGTATCCAACCAGATTTTGCTAAGCCAATCCTTTCGTTGTGCATCTTTTTCGACCAGGCTTGCGGCCCTGAAAGAACGGGTCGCCGAGCTGCGTCTCAAAGAGGTGGGAAGTTGGGATGAAAAATGGGGATTTCTTGGGATATTCATGGGGATATGTAGCCAACATTAAAAATTATCAATTAGCCAATTGTCTCGGATTTGGGTTTGTCCAAGAATGTGGGATGCCTCAACTTTAGGAATAATGGGACAATTCATGATCCATTTTTTTTTGCACCCTGGTTTAGTTATTGATCATTGTTGAGTATTGGGTCGGTTGTATTTCTTGGAATCGAATCCATTTTGGAGAATTATTCGCCAATTTCGGCAGATGTTTGGGGTGCAACTACTTGGGACGACGATTGGATCTTGACAGCAACCAGGGAACTCTGGAACCAGTGATGCTAGATATTTAGCCGGTGACATTGTACTGTACAGCTTCTTTGAAGCCAGACATTGCAGTTCTGATTGGTGAAAACTGGGTTGCTTTCCATAATTTATTGCTGGTTGCATCCTTGGGTCCCTTGGGGTTTCTGGGTCTGGAGCTCCACGAAAAATCACCAGGTCGAGCGAAACGAAGGTCGAGATGGCCTGCAAAAGCGCTTGGAGGAGGCCGACCTGGATTTCAGGGAGGGGAACACACACCAATTATTATTGAGTGGATATTATTATTGATATTAGTGGATATTTGATATTATGAAATTGTTGCTCAGAACTGTCATTGCGAATTTTGTTGTGGAGTGCATCTTACGTGCAAAAACAATTCCTTAAACCTGACAGGAGTAGGTCACTGAAAGGACCCGAAAAACAGTAGGAAGTTACCATCGCCATAGCCAGTGCAAAATTAGAGTGACATGGAAGCTGACCCTTCCCTTTCAACAACGCCATATCGCTTCCAACTTGACAGATTGCGAGAACCCAGGCCCGTGCTTAAACTAGGTACGAAATGAGAAACAAAACGAGTAGAAGTTTTACATCTCTTAAGATGGTTCACACACACACACCTGTAGGATGCTGATTTTAGGCTTCCAAGATATGCAGTGCTGACTTGAAGATTTGCCATTTCAATCGAGCGTTCCTGATCAAATTTGCGACGCGGGGAAGCACATCATTCGCAGCTAGGTGGAGCTGTCCATTCGACAGCTTCAATCACAGGAGGCAGCCCAGGTGCAATTCCTAGCAGGTGGTTGGAGAATGTTGGAGGTTTTGAAGGGCATCATTTCATGATGTTTCATGTGGTTTCACTTTGTGTCATACCCTCATGTACACAATTGTACATGCACCATGTCATTTATATATCAAATGTTTTCTTTGGGTTTCATGCTGCTCAATTCTGACTCAGACAATTTGTATTTCGCCCTCCTGCGCCAGGTGCCCTTGCATCAAGAGACCTCGGCTGATTTGGAGGCCAATTAAAACACAGGATGTGGTCTCAGACTGTCTCAGCGCATGACAAGACAGCGCAGGCAATGCAGATCGAGTTCTGCGAGCGAGAAGTCAGGGACTTGTGTGATGTTTAGGACCTTTAGACTGAAAATCACTGACCTCGACTTTTCAATGAAAGGCAGCAGCGTAGAAAATGATTCAAGCGCAGCAATGATGGCCTAAAACATCCTAAAACTGTTTTTGTGAGATGATTTTAAAAGCTAACGTGATGACATGGCCATGCATCTTTAAGATCCTGAAGACCGCATTTTTTCGCTGTTTCTGGTCTTCTCCCTTTTATTTGATGAGCACTCCCATTTTTTGACCCATCTTCACGTGGGTTTGTTTGATCAAATCCATGCAAATCACATCCCCACTATATGAATCCACCAAGGGATATACGATGACATCCCCATATCACATCCTTAGATCCCAATTTGTCTCCCGATGATTGTCATTCCAGATAGTGAATACCTCAAATTCTTTCCAGATTAGATCCCAAATTGCCTGGGATCTCATATGAATATTCCAAAATCCTATCCCTTTGTTGGTTAATATCATTTTAATCCCATAAACTGCTTGATTTGGGAGCCGTCGAGCGACCTCCAGAACTATCAACACGAGGCGGCCTCACGGCAACGCGAAGCCGCTGCCTTGGAGGCGATTCAACAGGCGCAAAAAAGACCCATTTTGTGTCTGAAAATGGGGTATATCCCAATTATAGCCATTTAATAAAAAAAATGGTGATTGTCCAGTGAATGGATGTGAATGGAATGGGGTAATTACCTTTTTTTATTCCATGATTGGCATTTATTGCCATTATTCCATTTTGTGGTGATATGGGTGACATTCCATTTTATAAGAAACATGGTGATTATCCAGTGAATGGATGTGAATGGAATGGGGTACCAAATTTTTAGACAAGCCCATATATTATTGATATATTCAATGGGATCTACTTAGATATAAGTGATGGGATCCAATGGAATATGGGATATACTGTAAATATAAAGATACAATGGGACCCCCATGGGTGTTTACGATCTTTCTACAGGCTATAACTAGATTAGGTTAGATGAGATCCGTGCTGTGCCAGGCCCAAGCAGCCAATGAACATCTCATGCAGCAGCTGGAGTTTTGGCGAGACAAGGCACGCACCCGTGTTATGAAGATGTTGATACCAGGTATACGCCTTAAGATGTGGCAGGCATAGGTTCTATTGCAGATGTCGGAGCTTGCTGAGAATTTTAATGTGCAACATTATAGACATTATAGGTCATTAGGATTCATTTGGATCAGAATAGATGAGTGTATATATAGTGCAGCATTGTGCAGCATAGTGCAGCATAGTGCAGCATGTTGCTCTACAAATCCATCTCATTTCCGTTTGCAGAAAGTTTCTTTGAAGGCTAAACAGCTGCTAGCCTCATTGGGCCTTGATGCAGTTCCAGAGGCCCGCGCGTGGCGGGCTCTGCGCTTTGCGAAGTCTAAAAGCAGGGGTATGGTGTGGTTCAACGCTAGGAATGTATGCGGATTGGTCAAAATCACACAAGATTATTAGCCTCCCAAAAAATCGGATGGTTTTGGAACCTAAAAGATGAACCATGAATTCCGGATCTATTGGCACCCCAGTGGTGAATACGCTTCAGACCTGATATGATGCAGGATGTTGAACAGCAGATCAGTAAAGAGGAGGAGGACCACTTCCCTAGCGATGCACCTGTGGAGGCAGGGGGAGTTGCCGTGTGTCATTTTCCCATATTTTCCCACTGGTTGGATGAAAAAGAAGGGGAAAACCGAAGAATTTTTTCCTCCGCTCCCGGGATTTTGTGCCAGCCCCAGTGTACTTACTGGGATGCACATCCAATGATATTCAAAAAAAGGGGATGGGTCAATGCCTGGACACTCCGACTGGATTTGGTGTGAACCAGGGTTTCAGGCTTCTGACAGTATGTGTCTGTCAACATACACTACACCAGAAACGTGTCTGTCTTCATCCAATGTTTGGTAATGTCAACCCTGGATGGATAAAATAGTGAGCGATAGTCTGCTACTCAAATGGTATTGTCAGCCACAGGGAGTGGACAACGATGCAGATGAGTCTGGCGGACAACTTGCTGAGGAGACAGCTGCAATGAGTCGTTTGATCAGCCAAAGTTCAACAGGTTTAAGCTTCATGTCATTAATTTGGTAAAGCCCATGATAGCCCATGAATATTAATGTGGTAAAAGCTATCAATAACCAACTATCCTCCATGTAGCTAACTTATGCTATATAACTTTAACCTTTGAAGGGTATTGACGACAAATACCAAAGGGCCTAGGGTATGATTCTCGAGTTTCAGTGAGAATTCTTGACGAACCTTGCAGGATCATGCGAATCTGAAACAGACCATTGAGGCGAGGCGAGCGCTTTGACAGACCGAAAAAAGCACCCCTCCCACACACACACACGCATGACGTAAACATCACATTTCTCCCTCTCTCCCTTAATATACATCTACAGTAGTACAATATATATATATACACATTATAACATTATAATACATGTACATATATGTACATGTACATATATGTACATAAGTCTAGATATACCGTACATATAATCATCATTACAATCAGCAATTCAAAAAACCAGGCCCTTCTCCGTTTCTCGAGGACTTGGAGATGACCTTGGCTGAGCTGATGAAAGGCTCCGAGGAGACCATCCAGAGGGTGGATCAGCAGCAGCACCACGAGAGGGTCTGGGGATCCCAGTGGCGGTGGCAACGGGGGATGAGAATCCACCGGAATGTTTCGGGGTCGGTTGAGTGGTCAAGCTCGAGAGCTCTGGGTTGATCAAAGTTTGGAGCATGCCGGGGTCTATCACAAAGTGCCAAGTCTAGTAAAAATAGTAAAAGCGAAGGATTAGACGTGGAAACTGAAGCAAACTGGAAGCTGAGATAGGATAACTCTGTCCGGTCTTGACAGCCCTGAAATCAAGATACAATAAACCTGCGTGGCGTGGAACCTTCTTGTCTTTTGCCATGGCCAGCTCCAAGATGCCATTGTATCATGAATGCACAGTGGCAATCGATTCTTTACAAAACGTTTTCCGTGGTGACACTAGCAGTGCAAAGAAGAAGTGGGAAGAGTATGGCAAGAAGTCGTTTTTTGGGTCCTCCTTTGTGAGTGCCTACCATGCAATCCGCGGTGATTGGGAGAAGGCCGAAGAGTTGGGCCGGAACAGCGGCAAAGCTCTTGGAGAAGCCTTGAAGGATTCTTTTTCAGGATCCAAGCTGCCCGTGATGCACGAGCTTAGCTGCTGCGGGGAATCTCTACGCCTCGTTGCGGAAGACAACCCTGAAGCAGCGAATGCGGTGTGGACACAAACATATGTTGAAGACAGTGTGCTGGGGTGTGCCTTTAAGGCAGCATGTAAGCTTGCACAGGGCCGCAAGGAGGACGCCGTGCAGAACTGCATGCGGTCATTGGCAGCCTTGCGCGAAGAGGAAGGCCTTGAAAGATTGGAGATAGCCCTTGAAGGTTTGGAGAGACTTGCATGTCTCTGCGATACCTTGGGTTTGATTCCAGCTTCAAAGGTGGGGGGGCTGCTGTTTGGAATCAGTCTGGCCAGGCAGATTCGAGGACTGATCCCAGACTCACCCCCTGCACCGATGCTTGACAGCCCCGCAAGAGCTGGATCCCGCTTTCGCTCCTCAAGCATATGAGCTTTGTCCAGCTTGGTCATGGTGGATCCTGTTTGATGATGTGGCAGAGTATGAGCGCACGTCACAGTCTGTCCGGTTTGCAGCTATAAAATGCTATATACAGTCCTAGAATAGGGAAAGAATTGAAACGGGCACAAAGACCACAATATTGGGGAATCAGTAGTCATCAGTAGTCGTTTGCGGGAGGAACGGAATACATTCAGCGGTTGGACATGTGCTGCCGGAACCGGACTTGGGCTGCTGAGTACAAAGCCAGCAGCGCTAGTACAGTTGCACAAGTTTCTTGGGGTGCTGAGACTGTCAGCTTCAAGTACGTACCATAGGAGCTCTACATTCCTAGCTACTTACAGTAGCTTCCACATGGTTTCTCCTTTGTTTGGCTCCCCAGCTCCTTGAACGAGATTCGAATCCGGGAAAAAGTTGCGAAAACAACAGGTGTACACAGCCTACAGTTATGGCCATTTACCAGTTATAAGTACTTATAACCCCATTTATAGAATGTATAATCTCATTTATAACCAGTTATAACTAATAAATGGCCATAACTGTATGGAATGTTCGAATCCCCTAAAGGCCCCAAAGCATGTCGCCTCGCACAGCGGAAGCTGGGACGACTCCTGAGTCCTGCAGGATTTGGCTTCGCAGCTTGCAGCTGCCGAGGCAACGATGTTTTGCTCGTTGCAGTGACAAAGAGTGCATGTTTTTTTTTGCATTTGGCATACCTACCTGCAGTATCACCCGGGTATGTAGATTCTCAACGGAAACATCTCACATGATCTGCAAATTGTCAGACCTGTTATCATTTTGGATGATTTTGGATGATTTTGGATGATTTTGGATGATTTTGGATGATTTTGGATGATTTTGGATGATTTTGGATGGTGAATCTGTGGTGAATCAGCTACAGATCACGCGGACACTGGACCTGAGGCGCTTTCCTTAGCTCAAGCTCGGGAAGCAGATGCCTTGCAGCGGAAGCTGGAGGAACTCCAGCAGGTCATCGCCAGTTTGCTGGGAGAGATGGGATGATAGGAATCCATCATAAACCATCAATGTGCATGCTCATCAATATCATCAATGTGTGTATGTTGCAGAATTTTCTAGAACTTCATAGATGTGTTAAGAATTGTTCAGATAATTCTTTGAAGACACTTCCAACCAGCCAGGCTCAAGCATCTCAAGCTGCCCCTGTGGTGGAAACCATCTCTCCTTATCGCGCTGCATCGGCAGAGCTGAATCAGCTCCGGCACGAGGAAACGAAAATGGTTGTGGGTTGGATAGGTTGTCCAATTGTGACACAACTCCATTATTATGATTTTATTATGTATGTGTATACATGTTATCATTATTGTTATTATTGTTATTTGTTGCTGTTAGTGTTATTTTTATTCCTATTATTATTATTATTGTTATTATTATCATTTATTATTATGATTATTATAATATACATATTAAACATGCACACGTATACACATACATATACACATACATATACACACATATACACATACATATACACATACATATACACATACATATACACGTACATATACACGTACATATACATATACACATGTATGGAAACAAAAGGATCACCGATGATTGCGCCTTATATTAATCGTATCATATTACATTACATTACATTACATTATGTTATGTTATATTATATTATATTATATCATTATATTATATTATATCATATCATATTATATTATATTATATTATATTACATTACATTATATTATATTATATTATATTATATTATAATTCAACTGCCCAATTTGAAGGCCCTCCATGAGCCCGAAAATAGGATACTCAAGATCCCATGGGCGACTATTATCCCCATTTGGTGCTTGCTTTTGAGATAAGCACCAAATTCTTGACCCCAAATATGAACAGATTCAATACTAAACCAAGCCTCTTGCTGCGGGGTAGGGGAAAAGATCAAGGGGCAGCCTTCCAGACATGTGACGGTAGGAACCCAATCAAAGCTAAGGGAAATTAAGTGATAATCGTCTTGGGGGGTTCATGGTAGGTTTCAGCCTGTGCCAATGCTTCCCTTAGAGTGAAACATTAGGTGGTCTTTCCGCAAGACATGGTCATGCCTACAGATCCTCCAGGTTGAAAGCTTGCGCCAGCGAGAAAGTGAGTTGACCCAAGGGAATTCTGCCTTGGAGGCCACATTTGGGTCTGGTTGCGGGTCAAATCATGGGGGGCTCTCCCAGGATCTGACCAGGAACTGTGCTTTTTGATCTGCCAGACTTGGACGTAATATTTACCAGAAAAAAAGAGGTTCCCCCAATTGTATATTTGATTCAAAACATGTGTTTTTCAATTTCCAGTGGAACCGACTCAAAAATATACGTTTGTTTGAACATGGGATACCCACAAATTTGATGGTTAGAGTCACCATTTCCTTACTTTAGATGGACTTTAGATGGCAATTTTGGGGGTATACCTCATTTTCAGACAAACCCAACTGGTAAAATGGTCATGAGCTGATATGAGCTCAATGTTTAATGGCATTTCATGGGTAGAAAAATAGCGGCTGAAATAGTTTCTTAAAAAACAAACATGTTCTGCCGATGTTCCCCTTGACTTCCTGCAACTAGTAGGGAAGGGAATGATCCAGGTGAAAGCTGCGAGACTTCGGGAAAAGGCGGCGGAGGACTTGGAACGAGCCGTGCGCGGGGGCTGGGTGGTGGATGGGTTGTTGGGAGGTTCAACAAGGGGAAAAAAATAATTATATACACATACATATGTGTGTATATATATATATTAAATATTATGTCTAGACTAGAGAATTATCAAAGACTTTGTAGATTCGGAACCCCCAAAAACGGGAACATATTAAATGTTTTGCAATTGCCAATGACATTTAGGATGGTTTGAATCATTGAAGCAATGGAACCACAATTTAAGTCAGAAGAAGTCTGCAAGTGGGCCACAATGTCTTCATCCTTCACCATTGGACCACATCGGACGGCATCCATCATCGACAACCATTAAGGTGTCAACGCTCGACAGGTACCCTCCATTGATACAACCTGGTGGACTTGGCTGGATGAGCCACTCTTAAAGACGCATGGCCCAAAGATGCCGAATTGTCCATGGATTTTTCATGGGTCAATGGGTCAAAATGATTGCCAGCATTTTGGGGTCCTTTTTCAAATTGCAAAAAGGGATCCAAAAGTTTTATCACATAATCATAGAGGTGATCCCAACCATACGGGATTTATCACTAGATCCACCATCGATTTTTGGTTCACTTCACCGCACCGTTCAACCAGATCGACCAGCGCCCAGGCTGGTGACACTTCTGGTGAAGTCGACTTGCCTGCGAAGGTCCTTCGCTTTGCACCTGCTGGCAACGTGCGAATCTCATGATCTCATGAACTTGCTCTATGCAGTTGTGGCAGCTTTATCATGCCTTATAGAAAAAATTGAAAAGCTTACAAAAGATTTGGTGGTTGACGTGTTCTTCCATTCGCCTCCCCTTGTGCTTGTAATTAATTTTCAAAGCATTTGATCTGGGTACTTACAGAAGCTTTAGGCACTTCTGCGCTCCTGCTTTTGGCTCAACAGTGTGCGGGTTGGGATTATTTTATTGAAGATGTCCAAGCCGGATTCTTAGCAGTTGATGCACTTGTTTTATTGGCAGTTCTTCTTATTGTTATTTTTTGTTTTTATGGCGATTATTTTATTATGTTGTTGTTGTTTTTTTCCAGTTGATTCACTTTCTTCCAGGGTATCTTTTCATTTGTGCGTACTGAGGGATGGCACAATCGCCATCCGCAGCGGCAACACAACCAGGAGGTTTAAGGCCCCCGCAAGGGAAGATTCTCAGCCCCACCTTTGGAAGATATCCTATTGGGACATGGCCCAATTTGACATTCTATTTACTTCTGAAAATGTATATGCACAAGTGCACACATATGCTTACATCTCTCTCTCTCTATACATATATAGATAATATATATATATAATATATACCTATATACATAAAGAAAAAAAAAAATATATGCATATGCATATGCATATGCGTATACATAGACATATAGTTATACAGTATTACCCCATAGTATGTACATGTATCTCTACACAACTGCAAGCGCACACCAGAGTCGCAGGCATCCTTGGCTGGCAGCCGCAATACAGAGTTCTTGAAGCTCGTGGAGCGAACGGAGGCACCCCGCCATCTGAACTGATCCAAGGATTTTGCCGAGTTCGCCCATTGGAATTGGGAGTGATGTACATCGTTTTCAGATAAAACTTCATGATTGGTAAGAATTTGATGGGTAAGCTTTGATGGTTTAATGACTACGAATTGGCGCTACTTTTTTCACTCAAATGTCTTGTTCTTTCCATAGTTACATGGGATGATGGTTGCCACTGACGCAATATTCTTGGATTTGGTACGGTTTGGTGATTATTTAGGGATGGTTCAAACTAATTACTCCCCAAAAATGGATTCAGATCCATTAAAATCAACCTATGCATGGGTGCATTTGGACCCCAATTTTGGCACATACCCAATTTAGGGGTTGGCATTCAACTTTGAAAATTGATTTTTGGGATGCGCTTCTGTTTGATCCATTCCAGTCGTGGTGAATTTGCTGTCAACAGATGATCTTGATGGCCTAGGGCAAAACTCCAAAACCTCAAAACAGCACCATACTTTTCCTGGATATTCTCTTTGGCGTGCGGTTTCTTCCTCTGCTTCCGCTGCTGGTGGACTTGCTGGGACATGCGCAATGCAGACGTCAAGGTGAGTTGGCCCCAAAAGATAGCTCTGAAAGTGAGGATAAAGTGGGGCAGGTGAAACTGGTCACTTCATTTCCTGCAATCTTAGATCACAAACTTAAAGTCAATGCTGCCGTTGTCGAAGAAATTTAGCCTTGCCATCAGGGTGCCTTCCAATCGGGAGATGACACAGCCGTCGAGGACAACTTGAGGGTGCAGTTGAGGTTGTAACGCAGCAACCAGTCGTCATCCTGCCATCGACCGTGGCCACCAGGAAGTGAGAAGAATCCTGGCAGATGTGCGACAGCAGTACGATCAAGTGCACCTGGAATCTGAGAGAAGGGAGGCGCAGCCGTGAATGCCTGCTGTTGTTAAAGTATATATATATATATACATAATTAAACTATATATATATATAATTAAACTATATATATATAATTAAACTATATATATATATAATTATATATATAATTATATATATACATATTATAATGTTCATGATCTATATAGTATCATCACGTTGTAGAATGTTATATAGTCATGTTATGTATACAATTGTATTGTATTCTTCATACAATACATACAGATTCTTGAATTGATTATGACAAAAAGGCCGAGATCGTGAAGCTGCGCGAGCAGATCCGAGTGGCAGATCGGAGTCACGGTTATGGGGCAGATGAGTCGTCCAAGAAGGAGGACCAGCTGTAGGAAAGATGGGCCAGGAACAGCTGTTTTTTGTCCATTTTAGTCTATTTTGTATAGATTATGTATTATGTATTGTATGTGTATATATATATATATACATATCCCCTGTATGATGACGACATATATGTATGTATATATATATATTATTATATATATATAATGTATAGATTATATATTCATGTTAGTAGAGCAATAGGATCCACCACCCCGACATTTACCATAAATGGGTGGTATAAAGCAGAAACATATGAGTGGTGCATTGTTGCTTTACCAACATTATATTACATGTATATATATATATGTATATGTACATTCTGTATGATGACTATATGTATGTATATATATCATATGCTACCCCCTGCTGAGCCTGCTGAGCTGTTCAAGATTTTGTCGAAAATAGACTAAGAACTTGAAGTTATGTTTGTTTCAAAAACAAACCCTACATCCACGGGTTAATCACCATTTTCCATAGTAAGATGGCTTTTTTTCGGTGTCTCCCCTTTTCAAAAGCTGTCAAGTGCGGTCTGAGCTCCAGGACTCCTGTCATGCAATCGACAAGCAGCTACAAGAAACCACCAAGGCGGCTGAATTTGACGCTTCCTGTGTTCTGGGGGACCCAGAGGGGGACCCAAAAAATCCCATGGAAATCACTGCAGGGCACCCCATGGATCCCCAAGGCATTGGTCGAAGCCAAGACGTCCAAGAAGGTGTACACCCACATGTGTGAAAGGACTGCGCTGGAAACCTGGTTATTGTAGGGCTTCATACTACCTGGGTCATTGCGGATTATTATGACCCATTATAGGGAAACGTATCAACCAAACGTGTCTTCTGGGATCTTTGGTCTTCAACAGACTCTGAGCATGTCATCTGGTTGTGTTCAATGATTTGTCGCCTTTTCGAAGTGGATCTTTTTTGCATCCAGATGATACTGATAGCTGGTCGCTATGTGTGAATCAGTTTGGTAATATGGATCAGTTATTGACATAAATGGATCAATTATAATGCCTCTACAATCATCGACAGCTGGTTGTCCACTGAAAATTCTTCCGCTGAAGTTCCGCCTGCGCGCCGAAAAAATGTCGCCACCAGGATCACGAAAGAACAGGCGCTCTTGAAAGAAAAGTTGCTCTTGATGGAGGCATTGCAACACCCATCAGTTCAATGCAATGAGAGAGTAGGGTCTCAATGCAATGATCCACTTTCGGCGCCTCGCAACAGGCTCATTTGCAGAGAAAGTCTGCAGAATCCCAAAGAAAGGCTTGAACAGCTGTATCAGATATGGCAGTGTGTCAAAACCTTGTACCCCTGGTGAACATCAAAATAGCTGGTAAATGGATGTTCATTCCCCTAAAAATGTATCTATAGGTATTGACCCATACTCATATGGAACCATGTGGCATTGGTAGATGTTGCTGACAGGCCACTGTTGCTGCTTGAGACTGGAGCAATCCCCTGCAGGTTGCCGTTCAAGAACGTTTGGTGCGCAAGGGAGCCCAATGTTCGCAGGCGCTGGACTCAGGGAATCCAGTTGAAATTCAACCACAACTGGGGATGGATCAAAACCTACTACCCTCTGGTAAACTAACAGTTTGCTATTGAAAATGGCAATTTATAGTGGATTTTCATGGATTTTCCCATTAAAAATGGTGATTTTCCATAGCTATGTTAAATTACCAGAGGGTATCATATTTGGGGATATTTGGGGAATAAACATTCATTAACAAAGGGTGCCTAGGTTTCCAGGGTTTTCATAGCCATGACACTTCAATGCTTTTGGTACTGAAGATGTCCATGTTTGAGTCATACTCGAGTGAACAAGTTGCGGTGGAATTCAATCAGACCGCCTTTGAACAAGGAAGCGAGCCATGAAAATCACCTGAGCATAGTCGAATGCAAATGATTCTGGTGTCAGCTGATTTGCCCTGGCAGGACTTGGACATCCTTGAGCAAGATGTTGAGCATGAAAGAGTGGTGCTCCACAAGTTTGGAAGTGCTTCGGGGAAACTGAACATTTTGATAAGTTTGAGGGTCCCTAATTTCGGAACATATATTGTAAGATTTAGCATTTTGGAACACTGTTTGTTTCTAAGTGAGAACTAGTGGAACACTGTTTCCCCACCCAAAGCATTCTGTTGGCTAGCATCAAGCCAAGTTACAACGTAGGTTAATTCACAACATTTTTGCTTGTATGAATGAACCGTTCAAGTAGCGAAAGATGAACTTGAACCAAACATCTCAGAGAACTTGACAGCAAATGTGTTGAGGTACGGGAAGATGCTCTGGCGAAGATGGCATTATGCCTTCAGGCGAAGATTGAAGCAGGTGAGCGACGCAACAAGTTCGAGGAATGGCGACACGAGGCACGACGTTGTGCGAAAGACTCGACGTTGTTTGGGAAGTTGTTTTTGGGCGTGAGAATGTGCCAGAATGGCATTCAGACTGGGATTCAATACTGAGTGTTGGTTTCATATTTCACATGTTTCAATTGTTCATCTTACCGTGAGCTCGTCTTGATCCCGATAAACTATAGAACTCTGTTTGGATTGGCCCCCCCAAGCAGAATCTTCATCAAATCCAACTGATCACAGTGCAGCTGATCAGGTTGCTCTTGACGCAGCAAATGAAGCCTTCAATGCTTCAGCGGGTCGTCTTCGAAAGCTCTATGCGGTGCGGATTTCTGTTTGATCACTAGGTCACCAGGTGGTGCCTTTCAAAACACAAAAAATAATGAAAAATAGATAAAAATAGGAAGTTTGATACAGTAGGACAAAGTCATGCACAGGGTTTGTCTTAAACTTGGGTTTTCATGTTCATCCATTGGTTAAGCCCTGTGAACATGTCCAATTGTGGGTCCCCATTTTCAGACATCCATGCCGATGCATCAATGGATCAGCAGCTTTCCATGTATCAACAGCACATGTAAGGTGGAAAAGCTTGCTGGGAACTGCCTGCAGAAAGTCACCTTCGAACAGGCTCCTGTTCAATGTCTCGTTTTTTAGTTTCACTGTATCTGAAGTATCTAAAGATGGAGATTGGAACTGCTTGTCTACAAGGTGGTGCCCCATAGTTAGCTAAGTTGGTTTATAACTCCCATAACTATGGTTTATGGCAAATAGAACTATAGTTAATGGGGTTTATAAACCAACTTATAACTGGGGGGCACCATCCTGCAACATCATACCCAAATTCTTAGCTCAGCTCTGGAACCTTGTTGAGCTACCCGTACCTGGCGTACCTGTCCAGGTGGAAAGGTCCCAAAACACCGAGGACGGTTTCCAAAAGATCCGGGAGGCGTGCTGATGCCCGTTGACTAGCACGTTGTCTCGGAATTGGGTAGCGAAATGAGATGAAATTACTAAACCTTCCAAAATAGATTTAACATATATTAACATATTAGAATGGACCACAAGTTCCTGTATACTCGTTGTTCTCTTTCCATGCTCGAGAGATACTGGGAACCGGGGTCAAGTCATCGAGTCTTCCGACGGAAATTTGTGCAGGTGACCGGTTTGGCAGATGTCATGGATATCGTGCACAAGCGCATCACTCAGAAAATCTCACAGCCAAAGTTATCCAAAGTTGGAAATAGCTGGGCCACTTCTGCAGTATCTTCCAACCTGTTTTCAGCCCTGCCATGGTTCCCAGACGTGAACCCTCCTCAAAGGTTCTTGAACCGCGATGTCGAGCATGAGCAGCTCAAGAGTTCGGTGAAGGAAGCCGAGGTCCCCTTAAGCCTGGAAAAGAGTGGGAACTGGAGGTTTTTGACTCATGAGAATGAGTCATGATTCTGCGAACCTACGTGAACCTACTGTCGCACAAATGGCAGAAACATGCAGAAACACACTGACTAACCAGCACTATTTGACCAGATGCGCCTGGATACCTTGCGGGAGCAGTTCGAGCGCTTCAAACGCGACACCGATGGCCAGCTGCTTAGGACTTGCCAGTGCGGTAGAGGTTTAGTATAGGGTATACCCATGTATACCCCCCAATATGGGATGATTTAATATGAGGTTTACCATGGTTTACCACAGTTGAGAGTCGTGTTGCGGCTTGATGTGAAACACCAGGCATCACCTTTGACACCGACACTTCGGGAAAGTCTAGGTCCATCTACCTGGAGGTGGCAGCATGGCCTGATCGATGCAAACAAAAAACGATCATATGTATACAATTGTGTATGTATATATATATATATGTACATACGTATATATATATATATACGTACGTACGTATATCTGTGCTGATAAAGTTCAACTATGTGAGGCAAACATGCAGATAGCATGTCTGGTGGCAGTGACGCCCACTCCGCCACTTTTTGTAGATACTTTTGGGATCTTGGTACTTTTACGCTATGTAAATATGATAACATATGTGCATTCATGTCGCCTGGGAAAGTCTGGAATTCTAGTGTCGAAATCGGCAGGTAGAGGATCATGAGGCCAAGCTGAACCTCTGCCAAAAGGAGCCGAACTCGACCTGTTCTCTGGATCCTGACCTCCAAGTCGTTGGATTTGCCGTTGTTTTTCGCAGGAGCACGAGCAAAGCCGGGACAAGCTCCAACAAAGCACTTTGCAGGCATGGAAAAGCATTGAAAAGCAATGAAAGGTATATGGGTATGGATCAATACCTATGAAAATACCATTTTTAGTGGGATGAACATCCATAAATCCCAGCTATTTTGATGTGAACTACAGGGGTACAAGGTTTTGACACACTGCCATATCATGGTCTATCATTAAAAGTAATGATAGTAATGAAAAGTCATGAAAGGCAGTCGTGCACAGATACTCTTTGTGCGAAGTCCGAGAGAGCCATGAAAGGCATGAACAATCCAAACTTCGATGAAAAAGTGTTCATCAATTTTGAAGTTAGAGTGAGGGCCTCTCTTTCATTGCCATTTTCTTGACAGGTGGAACACATGAAGCGTTGGGCCAATCGCATGGGCCGGTCCCTTTCAATGTTTGAGGAGCAGATTTGTTGTTTTTGCGACAGTCATCGATTTGTTTAGATCGAAATGCCATTTCATCAATAATAACTCCCGTTGACTCCCATGTTTTTTTTGACCGGATTTTGTTAGGGGTTTTATGACCTTCTCCTCCAGCTTTGCAGTTGAAGTTGAAAACTAGGTTATTCCAGGTAAGTTGCATCGTTCACAGCGAGGATTGCGTCCGTGTGGAAAAGCCCTCGGATCTTCCCGTGCTGTGCTAAATGGCAACAAATCTGGAAACACGAGTCATTTGATCGGTGATGTTAAGTGATGTTGTTAAACTACCTCAAATGCTGTGCTAAATTAGTTAAGTGATGTTAAGTGATGTTAAGTGTTGGATCGGTCCCGTCGACATGCTAAAAGTGACCCCTCGACGTGCCAGAAGTGATGTTTGCTGTACAAAAGTTCGTTCTGGCATGTCGGCGGGCCTGGTTTCAGTTAAGTGTCAGTAAGCCTTACTGGTAGGAAGGTGTTTGCTTGTTATGCCGTGCAGTGTGAGGTGTTCTATCAGCAAATGCAGAGAGCCGTGGACAAATTCATTGCCCACATCGTCCAGCAGATTTCCTCTGGCAAGGTGCCTGTGCAGGATCTGAGCAATGGAATTTCTGGTGGACTTCCAGATGGATACGATGGATAGAGTGAGATTGCTTAAGTCTGAAGGTCAGTGGTTGGTGATTTCAACATGTTTCAAATATTTCTTCGCAGTCTTTGGGGATGATGATGATGATGATGATGATCCCTAATGACATGTCGGAAATTATGATGAAATGATGATGCCTTTTTTTTAGATTGATGATTATGACATACATCAAGTTTTCTGCCATGTTTTTTCATGGGTTTTTCATCCACCCCACCAAGCAGCCGTCGGTCGAAAAGGTGCAGAGGAAGAACATGTCTCAAGTGGCCAGCAAGGAGTACCACGAGGCCATCCCAGGAGTCACGTAAGCTGTGCGAAAACGTCAGTGGTTGTTTTCTGTTGAACAAAATGGTACCCAACCTGGTTATGACTAACAGTTCGCCATGGAAGATCATGGAAGCCATGGCCCTAATCGAAATAAATGGTTTACCTATGTTTACCTATGAATAGCATGGTGATTTTCCATGGCAAACTGTGAATGTCATAACCAGAGGGTATATGATCTTCATGGAGATGTTGACAAAGCGGATTTGATGAGGCCAGAAGGCTATTGGCTGACAAGGATTTCTTGAAGGTGCGAAGACTGGATGCCATGCTTGGGGGAGACTGGAACTATCCTAAATTGACATATGGATTGGACATTAATATGGATTGGATTATCTCAGGTAGTCCCATAGAAAAAGGACTTTGTGAGATTTTGTCAGTGGGAGGACATGACATGCACCATTTGGTTGCCCCATGTAATCTCATTTGCAGGTAGGACATAATTACAAGATTGACACAAGGCGATAGTTGTTCGAAGTAGTTGTTCCGAAAATCAGCAACCGAATCATTTGCATCATCGTGTATCACAATGGGTTATCAGTATATTCAGTGTCAGATATATTCAGTATATATCATAATATTTTAAGATCCTGGATGATGATATATGATGATATACTGAAGTGGATGATTCGGTCCTATCATATCAATTCATATGATATTTCAAGATATTTCATTCATTTCATCATGGTATATCATGGTACATTAGTATATCATCATCTTTCAAGAGGACGATTCGGTTCTACTTCGATCGGTTCCCACAGGCGAATTGCCGCGTGCCTGCGTCGCTGGATGCTGGCCGGCCTCCCTCCCGTCAGGCCAGGGTGGTCACAAACTTGTGTCTTAGGACCCCCTAAAAGATGTTTATCACTTTGTTCTTGTGTTTTGAAAGAATACATGTTCTAGTTTGTTGGGCTAGATAAGCTAGATAGTAGCTTGGATTTACCCACATGTTTTACCATGGTTTCATCGATTTTTCATGGATGCAATCCTAGTTGTCAGCTCTCCCAATGCATTTCTCAGCTGAGCCCCAGCAACGCAGGGCCAGACAGGGGCTCCCGAAGAAGATGCTGCAGATGTGCATCAGCAAGAGCGTGAAAGGCAATCATATGGTCACTGCATCACTACATCATGTCCATGGATACCATGTATCTACATCTACATATATATATACATATACACGTAGTATATATATATGGTGGTTTCCTGAAACGGGGGTACTCCCAAATCATCCAGTTTAATAGGAGTTTCCATTATAAACCATCTATTTTGGGGTACCCCCATTTATGGAACCATATATATATATATACATATATATATACATATATATATATACATATATATATATATACATAACATATATATACATATATATATATATACATACATATGTATATACATATATGTACATTCTATACCATTATAGATATGTATACTGTATACTTGTCATTATCCAGGACCCAGGAGTTGCAGTATCCAAGAATATCCTCTGATGCTGAGTTGTTTACTTCGGATGGGAATGTATGCATATGTACATATATATTTATCAATCGCGGGATGATATGTGGGTATGTCTGGATCAACATTGAGCCCGACTCCTGCAGGGACCATAGATTAGACTGACGACCAACCAGCTCAAAAACGGTACCCTATTGGAAAGAGGAACTTCTGTTTTAGAAAAGTTGTGCTCAGGGGGGTTCAACCAAGAATGGCTGGTCCTGTCATGAAGATACATAGAAAATCATAGATTTTTTGCGGCAATAGATGAATTGTATCAGTTCAAACATGTTCGAACAAAGACAGTCATTTTGCAAGTCTTGCCTTGTAATTTCGCCATCATGCCGGTGGCAGGTGCAAGAAGGAATCGAATGATCGGGTGGCTGATGTCATGCGCAAAGCTGAAATGCAAAAGAAGAGGGGCGGCTTGAAATGAATTCAAATGATCACACGGATGTTAAATATTGTGAAATTGGACAACCAATGTTGCAGGGTTTGTGATGCTGGTATTGCTGAGTAGCCAACCTCGGAACCTGCATGTTCTCTACACGGGCTTTTCAAGTCCCGTTTCACCAGGTGGATCAAGGAGTTGTCGTGTTAAGACGCGCTGAAAGCAGCGCGTTTTTGCACAGCGGAAAAGAACTCGCGTGCTGCCCAGCGTGCTGCCTCTCAACGATCCTTGAACTGCACGAACACATGAGCTATGGTCAATACTCATGGTTAATAACCATTAATAGGGGCTAGTCATCCAATGGTTCATAGGGATTTATAATAACCATTATTTTTGGATCCTTATTATGGATGGGATGACCATCAACCATTCAAAGTGAGTATTGACCATGGCTCACATGTCAATACCATAGTTAATGCCAGGATGCGATTCGTAGCTCAACTTTCAGCCGGTGTGCCACCTTGGCTGCTTGAGGTACCTTTGGCTCTTCTTCTTGGTCTTCTGGTTGGAGAAGCACCCCTGAAGGCGCCGAATGGTCGATCATGGTGTAACTGAGCTGCAGCCTATGATTGTGGTGATGATGATCATGAACCATTATTGTAGTTGTAATACGATTCTTCTTGTTAGGGGATGGTCAATGGTCATACCGTATGAAGTCATACCCCATGGCCCATGGGGCCATAGGGGTTTCAGATCAACCGCAACTCTCTGCCTGGACCAAGGGTCAAGATCGGTCACTCTGACGGGCTTTGTGACTTCCTGGAGCAGTTTCTGTGCAGAGTTTGCGGCAAGACAGCAAGATGGCTACGCGTGGACAGAAACAGCCATGCCAATGGCGACATTTGCGAAGCAAAGACGCGCTGAGGATTACCGAGTATTTGGTAGGCGTAATACAGAAGGCAAATCAAAGTTTCAAGACATCTATCTGTGACTTGGAATAAAAATAAGATATGGTAAGCTGTGTTTCGGTCGGTTTACTTCTGTCTGAGGAAGTTCAAGCGAGCCCCCTTCACAAACATGTTCAGAGACCGTACGGCACGACACTTGCAGTATCCATGGCTTGAGGTGCCCACCAGGAATGTTTTAGTGCAAATGTTTTTTATCCGGAACTGCTACTACAATCTATTACATCCCATTGATTATCATTGATTGATAGTGGTTAATATGTTGACATACCCATCTTTGATTTCATCCGACATTTCTGAAACTGATTTGCGTGCCGACGACTCGACTTGATCCTGTTTGGCATGAAAAACAACATACATTGTCCATCATTGTCATATATTTAATGTTTTAGGAATCCCCTTCATGATGGTGGGATGACCATACCCCATGAATCCGGTATGTAATGAACTTGACTGTGATCCACATGTTGCAGCCGTGATAGCTCAATCGACCCAAGCATTTTTAAATGTGCTTTGAGTCTTGGGGCCTCCCAGGGTGAAGGACTGGCAGCGTTTTGCGGTTTTGCGTCACCGACGTGAAAGAATTTTTTCGACGAGCTGTGTGAGGTGTTCCGTGTATTTCTTCCTTGGATGACTGCAAACTGAAAGTACACAGACATACATATATATATAATATTATATATAAACACATGATTATATATACATATAGTAGTGAGAGCAAACCACGAAAAGATAATGTTCACATTGTTTTCATGATGAAAACAGGCCCTACAACTTACAGCAGCAAAGTTCTTTGCAGATACCGTGCAGGACAGATGGAGGTGCCATCACGGCTCTCGCCGGAGACGGGAGGAACCTTCGGGCAGGTGCCGACGGGGAGCTGCTGGCATTTCTGATTGTGATATGCACATTGCATGTTGAAACTCACCATGTGTGATTTCCGAAAAAAGTCAGGTCCAGGTTCAGGTATATCATTTGCTCAGACTCCGTGATTTGAAGCTGGTTGAAGCGCCAGGCTTACAAGCCCAAAGAAGCAGCCTTCTATGGCCGGCTTAAGGAGGCACAATGACATCAAGATAGACAGTTTTTCCAGGATGTCCCATATTTTTTCAGAATTTTCCATTAATGTTCCCATAATTTTCCATAAGTACCCCAGGTTTTTTTCCCTTAGTTCGATGATGTTTTTCATGGTTTTCCCACCTTTTCCATAGATAAACATCATTTTTCCATCCATTATCCCAGAATTTTCCATACATTTTCTAGGTGTCCAACTCCAATTGGGGCTCCACTCGATAGGCCACCATGGATCTGGGAGCAGCCCACATAGACTCGTTGCGTCGCTTGGCGAAGCGAAGAACTGATCCATGTTGTTATTGGAGACATACAGATCATACAGCTGCAATATCTAATATATACAAGATTATATAATCTATGAATATATATATATATATCATATATGATATATATATATATATATCATATATGATTATATAGTTACTTATATAATACATAGTTACTTATATATATATATGTATATGGATACATTCATGATATTTAAATGTATAATATCTTCATCTCAAATGTCCAGGAAATTAAGTCTAGTGGCAGTTGGAGCAACCCAGATCTTTGAAGCTGGGGCTTAGCTTTCACCTTGCTAGGACTTGCAGGGCTGTTGGAGACACTTGAACAATGACCACCACTCTGCTTGATTGGTTATTATAGGAGTTTATAGTACTCACTATATTGGGTATGATCTTTACCCATCATGGGATATCCCTATCAACCCGTAGAAATCGGGTGCCGACATCGGGCTCTGAACACTGCTTTCAGGTGCAATCTTCACCTCACGGGTGCTTCAAACTCGAGCGCGTCTGCACGGACTGACACTCTCAAACTCGTGGCAAGCTCAAGGTACCGCATGCAACAAACACATGAACACTGGATACCAAGACAGTACTGTCATAATCTGTCATCCTCCAACTATCCAGACTATACTAAGACCCTCTGCTAATTTCACATAGCTATGGAAAATGGCCCAGTTATAGTTGATTTACCTATTAGAAGTGGCTGTTTTCAATAGCTATGTTAGTTTGCCAGAGGGTATATGCTAAGTAAATCCAAGTTAGCTGATGCACCGAGGCAAAACCTGGACATCAAACGTCATCAGTATGGACTGCGAGCTGCTTGGCGTTGTTTTGCACCATGTTTACGTCCATAGGATGTCCATAGTATATCCTATACTAGTGAGGTTTACAGAGACACAGCAAGAGGAAATACAAGATGTGATGAAATACGAAAAGGAGTTGCAAACGTCACAAGGCAAATCAAATTGCATCAGGTCAAAATTGTATCACATCATCTACCCCAAAACATGTATATATATACATACATAGCATAGTAGCTTGATACTTTTAGCAGTGGTTTGATAATCATTTGACAGTTGTTGAATATCCCCAGCAGCACATTCCCGTTAAATTGATGGGACATCTCCAAGAAATCCACTGCCAGGGTAATGTCTTGGCGCTGGGCCTTGGCCTGCTCGAGCGGACCGAGGCTTGGGATGAGTTGTCCAAAAATCCCAAAAAAAAACATCATGAAAGAGCGGTCAAAATCGGTAGATCATCTCCAAATGGTCGGTTTTTGGGTTTCCCATGGGTTTCCCACATATTCCCACATTACCCCAAGATTTTCCCCATCCCATCCCACCCCCAGCAGGCCGTGTTGGACTTGCTGCTGCAGCTTGCCGAGAGCCAGGAGCACGGCGAGGCTGGCCGGCCTTGGTCGCCCGGGACGGGGATCGGTGGTATGTGGTGGTATAAAGAATCCCCATTGTTGGTAGGTTTATTGTGGGGTTGTCCACTTTTGTGTAGCAGTATAGTAGGAGTCTAACCAACCAAGGGGATAAAGCCAGCAAAAAAAAATGATGATACAGCATTTTTGCACCGACAATTGGGATTTCACGAACCACAAAAAGAGCCAGGAATGGAACCAACAAAAACTGGCTCGGTCGTTGAATACTTCCTATTACATCTTCCTACTTTTCGCCTCAAAAATGCGAGGATTTTTCATCCCTGAATTATCCATTATATGTTAATATCGCCAGTACAGCACCATTTTTGATGCTTAAATCACCATTGGACCATGTCTCCGCCCCTTGGGATGGAGACCATATCACCACTGAGCACAGGATCACGTTGCAGCTGTGCAAGATGCCGTGACAGAAGGCTTGCCACTCAGCTTGTCAGTTTTTTCAGATATCTCCAATCATCTCCAATCAATCAAATTCAATCATGTCCATGTGTATCGTCAAATATCTCCAATCACCTCCAATCACCTCCAATCATCATTTCAATCATCATTTCATATCCAAACCTTGGAGTCACCTGGTGTCCCCCTTGCACATCTTCAACGACCTTACCATCTGCGCAGATTGTCACCGTCCCATCAGCTTTCTGCAAGTGCCTCGAGTGATCTCCACGCAGGCTCTCGTTGTTTCGGTCCCATCATTTTGGGGGATTAATTTACATCAATTGCTAGGCACCTAGGCATTACTAGGGGTGTATTTAAGGGAAAAAGAAACAGGACACCCAAAGTCGGAGGCGGTTTTCTTCTTTTTTGATCTTTTTTGTTTATATAGCTCATGATTATTCATTATTGCCCACAAAATAGGATGGATTACTGCCAACACATGGTATGTTTCCTCTTTGACACAACCTTAGAGTACAAGGAATGACCAGCCTTCCGGGTGTATGAAATCATGCCTCTGCAGCTGCACACTGAGCATCCCTAAGAATCATCAGAACGGGGTATAGCTAAGCAAAAAGGTTGTGAAGTTTTGTAGATTTCCCATTCATCGCTGAATCAAAAACAGCTGTGACACAGAACTTCTGAGGTTGCAGAGTGCTACCTAGATTGTGATGGATAATCTTTTCTGATGATAGCAGCTCCCAACGACATGACTTCGGACGCGTGCAAGGTTCTACAAACCATTGTGGTGCCATTGTCAAGATCGCACACAGTGAGAGTAACATACGTGGGAGTGCAGGCAAGCTGAGGGTTCAGGAGGAATCTGTCCAACTAGCCACAATTGGCAGCGGATCAAATTTATATCCCTTTGACATCCTTTGACAATATATTACAACACCATCGAAATCATGGGCTACAGTAAGGATCAACACAAATTTACAACTATATAACAATTCTAATATTGTACTATATAATAATGTACATAGATATATTCCGTGATTGTGTTCCTTGCAAATATTAGAGTAAGACAGATATACTGACTGACGTACTATTCCACCAGGACACCTGCAGTTCGTTGATGAACCTCCTTCGAGTCCAAGAACTATGGCAACTTCTGCGAGGGTTGCATAGCTGGGCCCAGGAGGGTGCAGCCACGGGTGGCTGCAGGGTGCAGCCACGGGTGGTGGGTGCATCAGCCACTGTTCAACCGTGCCTGAAAATTGGCTACTGTACCTAAATTCATGGTTATTTTCCAAAATTTCCATGTGAATTCTGAGACCACAGACACATCCATAATGAGTTTGTGCTGTTGGAGAGAGTTCCTCTCGGCTTAAAGATCCATGTGCCTATGGAAGATCCTTTAGGATGCAGACCGAGTCGGAGTTGGTGGAATGTCCTGATTTTTCAGGAGAAGCAAAAAGAGTTGACCGATGATGTTGGCACCACTGGAACTCCTGCCGTTGCAGTTCGTGCTGCCAACATTGCGTCGGGGGGTCCAGGAAGTGAAGTTGATTTTTCTTCCAAAATTTCCAGCAGCATCAGAACGGACAGATGTTTTATTGAATCAAACATGCATCAAGGCTTACCCTCTGGTAATTTAACATAGCTATTGAAAATGACAATTTATAGTGGATTTTCCCATTAATCATGGTGATTTTCCATAGCTATGTTAAATTACCAAAGGCTTAATCATCAAGGGATACCTGTCCTGGATAACATGGGATAACCATGACTCATGGCAACGAAAAAAGTTCTGCCACAAAAAAAATAGCCTCGAGTCGCCTCGACCCAAGGCGCCGCGGCTGTGAAAGGCTGCTCGGTGAGAGCCGTTTTGAGCGATTGCTGAATAGCTGGGGCACCCGGTGCTGATCATCTGTCAATTTTTTCAGCATGGTGATGCTCCAACTCCAATCCTCTATATTACAGGACCATATTCATCCATATTCATCCATATTCGTCCATATTCATCCATATTCATCCATATTCATCCATATTCGTCCATATTCATCCATATTCATCCATATTCATCCATATTCGTCCATATTCATCCATATTCATCCATATTCATCCATATTCGTCCATATTCATCCATATTCATCCATATTCATCCATATTCGTCCATATTCATCCATATTCATCCATATTCATCCATATTCGTCCATATTCATCCATATTCATCCATATTCATCCATATTCGTCCATATTCATCCATATTCATCCATATTCATCCATATTCGTCCATATTCATCCATATTCATCCATATTCATCCATATTCGTCCATATTCATCCATATTCATCCATATTCATCCATATTCATCCATATTCGTCCATATTCATCCATATTCATCCATATTCTATATTTTCTCATGACGATGTTTTTGTTCTCCAGCTGTTCATTTGGAGGTCACATCCTGGTTCGCCTCCTTGGGGAGAGAACTTCAGCATCCACAGAGGCACCCAAAAACATCACAGGAACTGAGTTGCTTTGCAGATAGGACAGTGCCAAGAGCAGAAAGAAGTTTACCCTCTGGTAAACTAACATAGCTATTGAAAATTGCCATTTATAGTGGATTTTCCCATTAAAAATTGTGATTTTCCATAGTTGTGTTAGTTTACCAGAGGGTAGCAAAACGGATCTGGGAAGAGTGGAAACTCCAAAGCTTGGTTCTGCCAATGCTGAAGCATCAGAGATCATGACAACGCCACATCCAATGGGCAACAGATCTTGCCTGCCCTATCAAACTATATCTTTCCTTTGCACGCAACGCGGATCTTTGACGATATGCGCAGACGATATGCGCAGATGTTTCTTGGGCATGTCCACGAATGGGCCATGGGTAATTTGTTCATTGGAAGACGGGGCAACTTACACAATCCAGACATAGTAAGAGACAGGTCGATTTCTCTACCAGAATGGTACCTAAAGACCTAAAGACATCTAAAGACTAAAGGCTAAAGCCGAGCATTGACCCTGACACATCCAGCACGATCCAGCTGGCAAGCACCACTGCCAGGACACCAATTTCCCTCAGACCCAGGCATGGTGTTGTGTTTTCCACGGAAGCGCGGATGGTACCTTGAAGCCCTGGCAATTGGTTCCCATCAATGCGGCATTTTGGTCAAACTATGGGGACATCGTTGGTCTCCATTGGCTCATTCCGGGAACCGCCGCAGCGTATTCCGGCCCGGCTTCCAGGCTGGTGTGCTTGTAGAGGAAGTTTTTGAAGGTCAACGAAGATTCGACCAGTCAAGGTGCAGCTCTCTGTTACAGCTTTTTCTGATCCAATCTTCTTTTTTGCTGGCCCATATCATAAATTTCCATGGAGTTCGGTGGTAAGGGCCCCATGTTTCTTGTCAAGAAACACCTTGGATTGCACAACTAATTCGTCAATCTTCGAGATATTTCTCTGGATATCACTGGTGCACCTGGCAAATAACTGGAGCCACATTTTGATTTGTTCATTTGTTCCAGAATTGGCAATTGGATCCCCAAACTTGCAGGACACCCTTTTTATTTGGGTGGAACATAGCCGCCGATGGCTTCATGTATTTTTCTGATGTTCCAGTTCCAGAAAATGGGTATGGGTCAATACCTATAGATACATTTTTAGTGGGATGAACATCCATAAATCCCAGCTATGACTTGGGGTTCACTAGGTACCAGGGTTTTGACCCATCCCCAAATAACCACCAGCCCAGTGATTTTTGCTGAGGTTGGGTGACCTGGGAGAGTTGCAGAGTGGAAGTGGTCGTTGTATCCACGTCGTCGTGAAAAATTCCTTCATCGAGCTTGTGGAGGCGCGTGGAATCCCCCCATATGGGCGTCCGAAAAATGGGGGGGTACTGCAAAATGGAGGGTTTTTAAATGTTTTTAATGGAAACTCATCTTTAAATGGATGATTTGACGCTACCCCCATTTTAGGAAACCTCCATATGGATCCATATGGAAAATCTGTCGGAAAATCATGTGGAAAATCTTTTGGAAAATCATGTGGAAAATAGGTTTTGATCGATCCTGATTTGAATACATTGCTGTCAACTGACTTCATGATCGGCCCAGCAAGCCACTTATCTCGAGCTTGTATCCTGGTTCAATGATTCTAGTTTATGTGCAGTATTAACTGCAGTATTAACTGCAGTATTAACCATCACATTTTTGCGGGCCCAATGATTCGTGGATGGTTTACTGGGGAACCATGGACCACATCCCAAGCTCCCCAGCAGGAAAAGTCTCCACGAGAATTGCGACGGGCACAGTCTTGCGATGCAGTCTTCGCAGCTGCAGAGAGGGCCCAGGCACCCAACAGTTCAACATGTGCAGCCCGATGTTCCCTTCATTTTGGCTGGTGTTTTACATTCAAAATATATATATATATCATATATTTGTTGTCGGACATCTGCAATAAGAAAAAATCGTTGGGGTATACAGTATACATCAGTATACACAAATGATATATATATAATTATATATATATATATATATATATATATATATATATATATATTATAATTATATATATAATATTATATATACGTACGTAATATATATATATATATAGAGAGAGAGAAAAAAATAGAATGACCTCTAAATGATTGGCCCCCAAAATTGGATGGTTGTGCACAAATTTACTGCATTTTTTTTACAATGTGAGATGGTTCACATACAGTATTTATTGAAACCCGACATGTTTCTTTATCGACAGTCCTCCCAACAGTGTACCTGTCGGGACAGAATTGGCGGAACGAATGCTTCGAGTCCCAAGGCTTTAAAATGCAAATCACTCACATCCAGACGTGCAATCAGCGGGGAATCCATCATAGCAGGATTTTTTTTCTATAGTTCCGTCATTCCCGAATATTCCCGACCTATCCCCATCTTTACTCATCTTTGTTTTCGAGTAAGTTGGTGTATCCCGAAAGTATCTGGGCCCGCGAAAGTCCCAAATCCATGGGTTTCTCTTCTGAGTTTCCCCTTCCAAATGGCCACAATGGTCCACTATCCGATATCCTCCAGGAAAACGCTGTGACTGTGGCCATTCAACCCTCCCTTCAAATGGGTGAAGCAGAAAGAGGCTGGGGTCCATGGGAACCACCCAAGGATAGGATAGGATAGGTGAATTGTGGTTGCATTGTGGTTGAATGTTCTCTGGTAATTTAACATAGCTGCCATAGCTATGGAAAAGCACCATGTTCGTCCATTTTCCACAGCTATGTCAAATTGCCGGAGGGTATCATGTACTTAACATATACCACGAAATGGACATGGTTTCCCTTCACGTGTCCCGGGCCCTGTCATGTCACTGTGTGCTGTGTGCGTTTTGGGTCATTCGCACGTACACACGTTCTTGTTCTTGTTCTTGTTCTTGTCCTTGTTCTTGTTCTTCTTCTTCTTCTTCTTCTTCTTATATCATGGCACTGGCCTACTTTGCCCTGCAACGAAGCTTTTTGCCTTGGGATGGACTTGAACAATGTAACAGTCTTTCAAGGCCTTCGCGCCAGGTGACTCGCCTGTGGCGGTAGTTACAATACCTTCAGATCTCAGCGACCATCACAGCAGCTCCAGCAGAGCACAACCCGCCGAAGTTGCGGGCAATGTGCCGTCCGTCGAACTGGCCATTGGACACGCAGGCCATGGAAGCGTTCCGGGAGATGGTAAAGTTGGAGAAGTGATTCCTTTGCACCTCAAAATCTTAAACGATCAAAACATATCAACACATATCAAAACTTCACAATTTGACACACAATAATTAAGGATCAATTTCGCATCATTTTTGCTGGGTATTCACTTTGTTCCCGAATCCTAGGTGAGGAGATCGTGGATGACCACGAGCGTATGACGGCCGGGAGCCTGGCCTTGGGCACAGGGCACGGGGCCTGGTGAATCGCTCCAAATCCCATCAGGTAATGCTTCGCAACATCCCGCAAGAGCTTCGAACTCAGCTTGACAACCGAGAATACCATGAATACCGAGATGCGCCAGGGCAGAATCTGAAACAGTGCTTAATCATGCTGAATAATGCTTACTATCACATCTTTTCCTAACAAAATCTTACTATCATCAATCCTACCTGTGATTTCACTGGATGGGATTGGACACGGTGGGAGCCTTTTTTTTCCCAGGTTCACTCGTGACCACATTCTCCACTTGCTCGATTGGGCAGGTTTCCATGGCAGGTGGGGATGTTGAAATCATATGAAATCATCCAGCTGGTAACAACATCATGCCAAATTTCACAATTTTGCCAATGATGCCAATGTCCCCCCCGAAAAAATGAATATGCACCAAAGTTTTGAAATTGGTGGGAACCCATTGAACATCATTGAACATCATTGAACATCATTGAACACTAGATCCACTAGATCCACTAGATCGACCTTCAGATACTCCTTCGAATCCTTCAAAGCTCAAGCTGGGTGATCACCCCTGCCAGGTACGACTTCGTATATTTGCCCGTGGACTTTACCAGGGGCCGTAGTTTAGGGAAGCTTGGCGGACCACAGTACCCCTGTGTTTTTGCTCCATTATATATTCTCCAGTGGTCGAGGGAAGCAATTCTGAATAAACCCGAATACGTCCTTACATCTCAGTATATGATGTGCGGCATCCCTCACTGCACTACAGGGGGGATTGGGCACCATTTCTTTCTTCGAGGGGGTTGCGAATAATTCCAGCGGTTATTGCAATACTGAGGTATGCCTTGGTTGGATTGGTCAGTCACGAAGCTGCCCAAGACCTTCTTGAGCGTCTTGAGGCAAAGTCTGAAACTGCCCCCCCATAAAAAAATAGCATACTGTCATGCCCATTTTCGGACAACCTATTGTTGCTTTGAAATAGATAGATAGATAGATAGATAGATTGATTGATTGATTGATTGATAGATTGATAGTTCGATAGTTCGATAGATAGATAATAGATCGCTAGATAGATAGATGATGCCCTCAACCGACCCTGATGGCCTCAACGAACTTTTGCATCACATAGAAGACTGTTCCCAACCTTACGGCTTAAAAATCAACAGGGGGAAATGCCATTCTATCCACATGTACCATGATTCAGCCATACATTTCCAAGATCAAACCCCATTGGTAAAAACTCATGATGCTGTCTATCTAGGGAACAACTTAAACTATGCAGTGAACATAGCGAGGGAAGTTTCACAGAGAATACAAGATACCAAGCGGACCTGGAAGAGGCTTGATCTCTTATGGAAAGATAGGTCTTCTCACCCAAAATGGAAGCTTCTTGTATATGATGCAGTAATCCGCAGCAAACTCCTATACAGCCTTGAAACTATTCATCTAACTGGTTCTCTTCGTAAGAAGCTCGATGCGTTTCATTTACGTGGCCTCAGAAAGATCCTGCGGATTCCTACCACATACGTTGACCGGAGATATACGAATCAGCGAGTTTACGAAACAGCTACACGCATGGCTTACCCATTAGGAAACTCTACTATCAAACCTTTTAGCACGACGCTTGATGAAAGACGAGCGAAACTCGCTGCGCACATACTTAGATCTTCGGACAATGACCCAATGAGGCAGGTAACCTATAAGCCTGGCAGTGCAGATGCAGTCGAAGTTGGTAAACGTCGTATCGGAAGACCTAGGCAGCATTGGACTTTCCATTCCAACCAACTTATCCACAACTTAATATCTCATACTGATTATCATGCTTACGACTTCCAAAATGAAAACATCCTTGCAGCTGCACGCCAGCGTCGAATATAAAACCATGTTTCGTCCTATGCCCTGGTGCCCAAGCACCTCTTTTGTTTTGCGGTGGATGTCAGCAACGGGTGCATGGCGAAAGAAAAAGAGATAGATAGATTAGATTAGATTAGATTAGATTAGATTAGATAGATTAGATAGATTAGATAGATTAGATCGATCAGATAGATAAGATAGATAAGATTGATAAGATAGACAAGATAGACAAGATAGATAAGATAGATCAGATAGATCAGATAGATCAGATAGATCAGATAGATCAGATAGACAAGATAGACAAGATAGACAAGATAGATAAGATAGATCAGATAGATCAGATAGATCAGATAGATTAGCCATATTAGGTAGATTAGATAGATTAGATAGATAAGACAGATAAGACAGATAAGATAGATACGATAGATACGATAGATAAGATAGACAAGATAGACAAGACAGAGAAGATAGAGAAGATAAGATAGACAAGATAGATACGATAGATACGATAGATAAGATAGATAAGATAGATAGGATAGATAGGATAGATACGATAGATGGGATGGATAGGATGGATAGGATGGTAGATAGATAGATGAGATGAGATGAGATGAGATGAGATGAGATGAGATGAGATAGATAGATAGATAGATAGATCCCATGATATCCCTTTTTAGTCTCATTTCATTAATTAATATCACCACAGTTTATCCACGTTTCCATCATTTTTCTTGGCAACGGCTGCTTAGCGACTCCATGGCAGGGCTCAAGCTTTCCTGGGGAAGACCCGAGTTTGCGATGCCAAGCTTCGTGGAGCTTGCTGAAGCCCTGGATTTTCGGAAATTGACGCTTTTTACTAGCTGGATATAGCTGGATACAGCTGGATATAGTGCATTTTTTATCATTTGGATTTATTGGTTCAATAACCACTTGTATATTGGTCCAATACCCATATGTTCTGCTGAGATGCCAATTCTTTTTGACATAGTTTCTTTTGTTACATATCCATGAGTATTGCTTCCCATGTTGCTCCGACATTCCTGAGGCCCCATAGAGGTCTTGAAGGCCACATCGAGCGTTACCGCAACAGCCCAGACCTGAAGATCTGAGGTTTGGCATAGTTGCCATGTGTGTTTGTCTAAAAATGATGGATACCTCCAAATTGCCGGTTTAATGGAACAAAATAGCAAATAGCGACATGATAAAGTTTGAAGTCCATAGAAGTATTTACTCGTATGTGACATTATTGATGTGCATGGTTTGCCTCAAATTGGCAAAACTGATCCAAACAACTTCTGAATTCTTTGAGGCCCTGTGATGCATCCAAGCATGCCAGATGAGTACAAGGTTTGGCCATTTGTCTTCCTCTTCATCCATTTCCATGATCAGAGACTAGGGAGGCGAATTGGAGATGTACAAAATATGAGGGAGCACCGCAATGTCGCCCTAAAACCCTTTCCAAACTAGCATGTTGTAGAACATTCCCTTCATACATCTTCATACCATTTCAATCCATTTGATGTTTCTGGGCCAACATTGAAGATCCAACGAAACATTTTTGGGTCATGTCGCCTGATGTCGCCTGCAGCCTGTGATCTTCGAGAACGGCCAGCGAGTTGACTTCCCACCGCCGACCAAGACGATTCGGGCTCCTCGGATTAGACATCCGAAAGCCGGCCGCCGACCCGCGCAAGAAACCAGGCGCGCGGCCGAGACCACCGCATGGCATGAGTTGTTCGTTGTTTTCTGGGATGTGGGAGGTTTCGACGGGTTTAACATGCTTTATACATTTTTAACCATCCATTGAATCTACGGTAGATGAACCTAGTTTGTCATGTGAAGCAACTACAGCATTACAATGTATTACAACTAATTCAAAGGGAATTGCAGTCTTTACAAGGGCAGAGAGAGACTGAGACGCCATCTCGCTGCAGGGCAGGGTGATGAGGTAGGTGAGTCCTCGCTAAAACTGGTGAGGTGAGGTGCGATCTCTGTACAAAAGCACTGTAGCACCATGTACAAAAGATTGCAAGGCAGGGCCTTGCTTCAACCAGTTTGGAAGATCCTTTTCACGCTTTCGCAAGCAGACCTTGATTTAGTGCAATTGAGAACCTTAATGAGAATCCTGTTGGACTCCGACAAACATATTTATTTATGTTGTTTTTGAGAGAAGTAGATGGCAAGAGACAAGATGCAGTACGAGATGCTTAACGCATGGCCGCACGTTTGAAAGGCAGCGCCGCAGTGCAATTCTTTTGCGGTTCTTGTCGCGGCTTCTGCGGCACAAAACCATGAGATTTGGTGCATGCCAAAGCTCGCATCAGCTGTGCGAGACAGGCCGTCAGACTCCTTTGGCGGCTGCCAGCTGTGCCATTAAGGGCTTAGATTGGAGAGGGATGAGGAGTTTTTTCATGTTACCAATTTATTTTTGGCAGAATCCTTTGTGGCATAAGGTATTCCACGCGTTTCTTTTTGATCTTCTATCTGTTTCGATCTTTTATCTCATTTGTGGTTTCCAAACAAACTAATGACATGCTTCCCTCTCATCCGGTCCTCTTCAGGGCCAAGGGCATGCAAAAAGCAGCATCCGTTAGGACGCTTGGTCCGACCAGTGCAGAAGGTTGGCATACAACGGGTTCTTCAAGAAAATCAGATCGCTGATTGGATTTGTTGAAACGGAAGTAAGCATTTGATGATGTATGCCGTGAGAGGTTCACACTATAGCGAGGGTTGGACTTAGACCGTCAGGACTGCAAAGGGAAAAGGGGCCCGCACACACACACTGTATCCCTGCGGCAGCGGTTTTGTGGCAGAAGCGTTTTCACAAGGAGTCTGGAGCATGTTGCATGAATCAATGCAGTCCAAAGATCCAAACCGAACAGTATATAAATGAGCTGCTGTTTCAGATGCTATGATTTGAAACCGAACATTGGATGATACAGAACACAGTTTTTTGCGTGTTCAAACATTTCAAACGGATACCACTGGAGCTTAAGGCTTCAGCAGGCCGACTCATGAAGCGGGGTGCATAATGGTTGCATGATGGTCATGAAGGCATTACTCCACACAGCAGGACCATGTTCTTTTCCTGTTTCCAGCTGTACCACAACCGTTCGCCAAACAGATGGCACTCACCTGTTTCGGAGATGCAAACAGATCAAACAGCACAGCGAAACGACCAGCACAACTCCTTGGACAGCGTAGAAAGATGGTTGCAGAGCACAGTTTGCGGAGATTCAACAAGTAGGTTACTACAGTAGGTTGCTGAGATGGTCCTTGGAGGGTTCGATTTGTTGCAAGAACCTTAGCTTCTGCCGGGGCGGGTTCAGAAGGGGCTTCGAGTTTCTGGCTGTACGCTTTCCTGCGGTATGGGTGAACATGTCCACGGAATCATGTTGATTTCCTGAAGAGTATCAATCAACCAATTTCTCGGTATCCCTTTGGATTATTAGATTTATACTATGGATGATCATGGATCATCTCTGTCAAATTCATTTCTTTATCCGCAATCATCCATGATCGTCCATGATTGTCATTATCCCATTAGCTCCCATTGTATTTAATTATATTTACTTATGATTAATTCCCTGTTCATGATTATTGATGCATAAATATACGTAGATTTATCTGTATAAATTAAATATACATTGATCTGCAGAAATTAAATATACATTGATCTGCATAAATTAAATATACATTGATCTGCATAAATTAAATATACATTTATCTGTATAAATTATAAATATACATTTATCTGTATAAATTAAATATACATTTATCTGTATAAATTATAAATATACATTGATCTGCAGAAATTAAATATACATTGATCTGCATAAATTAAATATACATTGATCTGCATAAATTAAATATACATTTATCTGTATAAATTATAAATATACATTTATCTGTATAAATTAAATATACATTTATCTGTATAAATTATAAATATACATTTATCTGTATAAATTAAATATACATTGATCTGTATAAATTATAAATATACATTTATCTGTATAAATTAAATATACATTTATCTGTATAAATTATAAATATACATTGATCTGTATAAATTAAATATACATTTATCTGTATAAATTAGATATACATTTATCTGTATAAATTATAAATATACATTGATCTGTATAAATTAAATATACATTGATCTGTATAAATTATAAATATACATTTATCTGTATAAATTAAATATACATTTATCTGTATAAATTATAAATATACATTGATCTGTATAAATTAAATATACATTGATCTGTATAAATTAAATATACATTTATGTACATATATATATATTATGGTTGGTGTTTATCCCCATGGTTGCCACCGAGCGCCCAAGCCAAGGCGCAGCTGGCGCAAATCCCCTGAGATGGATGAGGTTGGATGGGAAGTTGGTCGCTCCCTTTTTTTCTCCGAGGATTCTTGACATTTTTAAAGATAAAATCCATATATATTCTTATATAGTCAATCTTGACATTTTTTAAAGCTTATATAGTCAATCAGGTTGGTCTGACTTTCATCAACTTTATGATAAAAAGTTTTTTTTGTCAGAATAGTAGAGAATAATCAGTCCCAGGCAAATTAGAATAATTAGTTGACTAGAGAGAAATTGTATTTACGAGTTTTCTAGTTTCATCATTTTGTGAGTGTCACTCCTTTTGACAGCTTTTCGGAGCAGTCATATACTTGGCATGGGTTGATATGAGTTGATTGGATTACAGTAAGATCTTTGGATCAAGAAATCATAGAGGAGCAGTGTAGAAACAATGTATCCTCCAAACAAATATTGTCCCACATCACCTCTGTAATTTCCCAATGGATATCAAGAATTGGGAATGTTCACGATTTTCCTTCCCACAAATGGTCATGCATGCTTCAACTAGGCTTGTGCAAGGTAAAAGAGGAATCCTTGGAAGATTGGCAATGGTATGCCATGGTATGTGGTGAACAGAAGTTGATGGAATTCAACATGTGTTCTTCAGTACCAACTGAACACGTACCAGGCGGGTGCAACGACCGGAGCTACGGCCGAACCAGAGATGCCTGAAGGAATGGGAGTTGCCTTCAGCAGTGCTCAACATTGGCGGCTTCAGTATAGAAAGATGAGCAGAAAACAAAGCATGGGGGGACTGGGGACTGGTCAAACCATGTCAAAACCTAATATTTGCGTAAGGGACATCCATATAGCCTGCTGTTTTGATTTCCCCCATACCAGCATTTGCTGAATGATACCCACTTTGAGAGGTTTATAACCACTTGAAAACCATGTCACAAACACTTGGTTTCTTGGGCTTGGTCAACCCAGAAAGAATCTAACCACTTTTGGTGCACGAAGCACATTCTTTTCATCCACCCTAGCAGCCCTAGCATTTTTGGAATGGGATTATATAAACATATATAAACAATTTATATAAAATTATATAAACCACCATCATTTTCTCCCACAAAAAAAAGCAGCAGCATGTCTCACTTTTCTCATTGCCACATCCACCATACAGGACTGGAACCAATGGTGAGACCTTCCACACCGGTGGGTTCAATTAGCACCGATGCGCGTGGCAAACTCAGCAGCCGTGGCATGTTTCGAAGTGGCATGGGATGCCTGGGATGCCTTGGCAATTCCCAGGTGTGGGACTCTGGTGGTACATCCATGCGCGGCCCTCGATTTGGGAACCTATTTCCATGCATGTTCATTTTGGGGTTTCCATAAATGGAGGTGCCTATTAAAATGGATTGTTATATAATCATGGAAAATCCAATTGAAATGATTTCCTATTTTAGGAAACCACATGAAACCACCATTTTCAATATCTTATTTGAAAATAATTGTTGCGTATATGTTTTGATCTGGAAGATATGTTGCATGTCATGTTTGTTTGCCAACATCTCAGCATTTTTGTGCAAATAGGAATTCATAGGAATTCCTACAGCACCAGGGCTATGGCACATTGCTCAGTCGCTCAGGATTCCAAAATTCTGCTTTTCCAGCTTCCTGGACCGTTTGGGAACTTGGAGCCAGATACATCCTGACAGCACTGAAATAAAGTCAAACTGTCCAGCTGGATCCAAGGTTTTTCCAAGTTCCGTTTCTTTTTTGACTTGAAACTAGAGTAATTGTGTAAACACGTCCTTCCTTGCAGTTTGTGTGTTGTCAATCTTTCAAACACATCCTGTGGCTGTGGATGTTTCAATTACATCATACACGCAGTGCATAGATCTATCATGATCTATCACTATCATCCTTCCCGTTCCATTCTTTCCCCAGTGAATTCGAGCCGTCAAGGCACTGGCCTCCATGTGGTGCTTTGCAGCTGCCGGAGTTCTCCACGTTATCGGCCAACTGTGTGGCTCCGCTGACCACCGTGGTGCAGCAGGGGAGCAACACCCTCCGCCACCCGACCGTGGCGGCGGTGTGTCGGGGCTCCGAGTACCGTGTTGGTTGACGGCTGAACCACGAAAAACGGGGACTTCATGGGATATCAACGGGGATGTTATGGGGTATATAACCACCAATATGATGTATGATGTGTCTGTGTGCGCGAAATTTGAGGTGATCATACCACGAGTTTTAGACAAACCAAGTGAATGAATCAGTGACTTCAATGATCATCACTGGTCAACTGATAGTATGCAGATTGTTGCTTTGTTCAACTTTGGCGGTCTGGTACTCTATGCTTTTTGCATGTTGTGAGGGTCCATCCAGTTGTGAACTTCTGTGCAGTTGTGATTAGCTTGGCAGCCCGGCCATGACTGAGATGACGACTTTCAGCTGTCTGTGTTTCCACACGGCCGGAGAGTGGACCTGCATCGCTCTTAGAGCTGGGCCTGGCAAAGATCAGGTGATGGGTCAATGTTTAAAGCCCTCAACCTCAACCACAGAATTTTGATCGTTTTTACTCACAACATATCGCAGCCATCTATGTTTTGGGAGATATTTGACCCGTGTATATTCGTTGATCTCAGCAGGTGGTGATGGTGGTTCGGACTTGAATTTGAAATCGATTGAAATCATAATATTTTATATATTTTGTGACATTTCATGACGAACTTTGCAAAATCTGAATTGAACAAATTGAACAACTGCAAAAACTGCAATCGAAATCCAGAAAGATCCAGAAACCACAAACTTCACCAAGCAATTGATGGACGCTCCACGGGCGCCACACGATGGGTCAGGAAGCCACTGGGCGCCAACTGGCCGAGCGGCGAGGCGATGGATCTGATTTGAGGGTTTGATTATGTTTGATTGAATCCAAAAGGGAACGAAGGAAAAATTGATGTCAATTGGTAATCACCCCAATATTAATGATGATTATGATATATAGAATTATATATATATAGAATTATATATATAGATAGATATATGATATCTGATTAATCCAGTTGGTAACATACTCAAACTAACATGAGAATGACCCCAGTGGGGAAAGCCCCTTGGTGACTTGGTGGTAACTCTCAGCTCCGATCAGCTCAGGTGCCAATCCTGGTCCGCACCGCTGCACCGCATCCAAGTGCTGTTGGTGTGGTCCTGCTCGTGCGGGCACCTGGGGATACCTGCGGATACCTGATGGCACCGGGCATCATGTCTGGTCTGGTTCTTGGCAGTTTCACTGTATTTCTCCGCTACCAAGCACCAATAATACCAATATGTTCTGGTTATGATATCAAGGCACCAATAATATCAAGGCTTACCCTCTGGTTATGTCAACAGTTTGCTATTGAAAATGGCCATTGAAATAGTGAGTGTTCCCATTAAAAATGGTGATTTTCCATAGCTATTTGTATGTTTACCAGAGGGTATTTCTCCGCTACCAAGCACCAATATGTTCTAGTTGAAACATGTGCCGAAAATCAAGTAGTTGCACCAATTCGGCACGATTCACTTTGAACACCCAAAGTTGACTGGATGTCGGGTCAGATTCCATGGCGATCACGACTTGTTCAGCCTCAGCCTCTCCATTGTGGAAGACTTTCAAAAGAATTCGGAGCTCAAACTTCTTCACCTCTTTTGTGGCAAATACATGCAAATACCAGAAATATCGAAACATGTCAGAATATCGTGTGATATCGTGACCAATTCTGTTGGTCCTTTGCCGCCAGATTTCTAAGCCATATCGGGCCATGCATCCATTGATCCATTCATACATTCCCTGAGTTGACCACACTGCAACAGCTTGAGTGTGGTAAACCCAGCAATGACGAACATTTTACCGTTGGGGTCTTACAATGCTCCAAACAAAATCATATCATTTGACCATCATTTGGAGGGTTATAGCCCTTAAATATCCTTAAATGCCTTATGTAAAATACGTATGTTTCGATAGTTTTAAAGATCAGCTTAGCGTCATTTGATCATTTTGGGATGGTTTTGGAAACTTTCCAAAGGCGGCTTACCATGTTGGGGCAGCTCTGCTCAAGATTTCTCGAGCGCCACGTCAGGTGGTGACGCAGTCGGGACGGCTTCTGTCCATTTTTCTATCGCAGACTTCTGGCAGTTTCGAGGCAGTTCAGATACCAAGAGCACTGTGCAGGTGGCTGGGAAGTCAGGAAAATGTTCCTGAGGATATGTGAGAATTTAGATAAGGTGGCACTGTTTTATGATACATGTTTGTCATGTTGTTTATCAGTAACCAAGAGAAATGGGATCAACCTAATAGGATTTGGGATGATTTAGGATCGGCCAATGGACCAAGGATATCAAGACTTATCAAGGATA